CGTTTTTTATTTTATTCAATTTTTTATTAAAAAAAAATTTTATTTTTTAAAAAAAAAAAAAATTAATTTTTAATAAAATTTATGATATTATTATTTTATTTTTTTTTGTGCACATCAAATCGCATCTATTTTAACAATTTTATTATAATAATAATTTTTTTTCAATTTTTTTCTAATTTTTTTTTTTATTGTTTTTATTATTTAAAATAAAAAAAAAATTAATTTTTTTTAAAATTAAAAAAAATAAAAATAAAAATAAAAAAAAAAAAATTTTTATGCAGAGAGAATGTTATTATTACAACATTGTGATGGTTCTTTTGAAATTTTCATGTGCTATTTCGATCACATCAGAGGGTGTTGCAATAATGGCAATTTACAACGGTAATTAAAGAATTATATATAAGGCAAACAGTAAATAATCAACAAGAAAAAGATAGAGTTTATTTGGGATTTAATAATTTAGGAGATGTGCTTATTCAAATATTGGATTCGTTAAAAAGAATAATCACTCAAACAACCAGAGATTTTGGACCTTTATATATCATCATCTTTTCAAAATCGTAATAATAATAATAATAATAATAATAATAATAATAATAATAATAAAAATAAAAATAAAAATAAAAATAAAAACAATAATGATAATGGCAATGAAGGTAATAATCGTAATATAAATAACAATAGCAATACCAAAGAAAGCTCCAGTATAGTAATATAGAATCACCAACACCAAGTGCAAAAGAAATAATATCAAAACATTATTAATAACAAAAATACAGATGTTAATAATATATTAACACAACAACAACAATGTATTGTTATGAAATTTTGAAAAATAAATAAATAAATATTATTAAAAAATATCAATAAATAAATATAAATTAACTTTAAAGAAAAATAATAATTTTTCTATTTTTTTTTTTTAAATTTATTTATTGATATTTTTTATTAAAATTATAAAAGAAGATTTTTTATTTTTTTTTCATCCTAAATTAAATTTTTCTATTTATTATACCTTTGATTTTATTGTTATAAAAAAAAACTTTTGTTTTAAAAGAAATTTAAAAAAGAGAGAGAATTAACACAAAATGAAATATTGATTGTGTGAATCCAAAATGATTTTCTCTCTTTATTTTTTTTATTTATTTAAAAATTATTTTGTAAAAACAAATATTTTAATTTTATATATTTTTTTTATAATCTGATTTATTTTTGAAGTTAGATTTGTTTATTTTCTATATTTTTTTTTTTTTTTTTTTTTTTTTTTTTTTTTTTTTTTTTTTTTTTTTTTTTTTTAAAAAAAAATTTTTTCCCCAGGTTCAAAACCGGAGCCTTTTCGGGGGGTTTAAAAAAAATTAGAAGGGGGAAAAAACCCTTTTTGGGGGGGGGAAACCAAAAAAAATCCCAAAGGGGGTTGGTTTAAAAAAATTTTAAATTTTTGGGGGGGAAAAAATTTCAAAAAAATTTTTTTAAAAAAAAAAATTAAAAAAAAAAATTTAAGGGGTTAAATTTTTTTTTTTTTTCTTCAAAAAAAATATTTCCGAAAAAATAAAAAAACCCAAAAATTTGGGGTTTTTTTTTTTTTTTTTTTATTATCCAAAATAAATTAATATTTGTTTTTATTTTTATTTATTTCTTTTTCAAAACAGTTATTTCTTATGATGCAAAGAAAATAGTATGATTTTACATGGCGTCATAATTTCTTAAAAAATTTTTGCCACTAAAATTTTTTAATTGCAAAAGTAAAATATTAACATGTCCACAATAAAATATGGTTAGTGTCCTATTTTTTGAAGAAAAAAATTATTTATCACACCAATTTATAAAAAAAATACATTTTAAAATTGTTTATAAAAATCTTATCATATAAAAAGTTCATCAGCGTCCCCTCCAAATACCTTAAAGAAAGTGTTAAAAAACAGTGAGATTTAAATCACCACCCTCCAAATGCTCAATTTTGAAATTATCATTTTAATTTTTTTAAAAAAATACACTTTAAAAATATTTTGTAAAAAGGCAGCCTTAAAAAAACAGTGAGATTTAAGTCACCACCCACTTTTTAAAAAAAAATTACAAAAAACAAATAGAGAAAATCACTTTTATTTTACTCATATAATTGTGTATTCAAATAATTAATATTTTGTTATACAATATTTTTACTCTTTCTAATATAAATAAATAAAGTTTTTTATTCTATAACAAAATAAAATTTATTTTAGAAAATAAATTTTATTTTAAAAAATAAAATCAAGGGGTTGTCTGTCATGAATTTATCTGGACGTTTTGCAAAAAAAAAAATTTGACAAAAAAAAAAAATATAATTAAAAAAAAAAAAAATTTTATTTTTTACATATAAAATATTTTTAATTTTATTTTTTTTTAATTTTTTGGGGCTGTCTGTAAGGAATTTGTCTGGACGTTTTGTTAAAAAAAAAAAAATTTAATTCAAAAAAAATAAATTTTTTTTTTTTTTTAAAAAATAATTTAATTAAATTATATATATAATTTATTTCTTTTACAGATATAACTGTTTCGCATTTGATAACAAGTGAAAAGACCATCTTCGCGTGGGTACCCTTTTCATTTGACTAGATCGGAGGCTCGCCTACTAGCTAGGACAAGGATCTTTCGGCATCATTCATTATATTTCTAGCACTTTCTGATGCGTTTCAATTATGTCAAAAAGAAAACAAATTGATTTGGACATTGAGGACTTTTTAAAAGACCATCATTACATATTTAATCAATCTACGTATTATTTATCGTATTTCAACTGCATCAGTATTGGTAGATATGAAGCAATCATTGGAACAATTTGGTAAATCTATTGAATACTTTTGTAATCTTTATAGCATTCCACAACCAACCAAGCTTCATCTCAAAACCAACAGAGAAACCATTACATACTTGTTCGACCTCTCCAATGAGATTGGATGCCCATTGACCAGCATTGCACACCTCAGCACCAATCCAGTTGAATTGTTTTTTAGTTTAGTTCGTTCCAAAGTTCATTACCCTTCTTACTATGAATTTTGCATTTATGAAAAATCGGCATACAAAGAGTTGATTAAATCAAAGATTGTCCAGAACAACCGTTATGAAGCTTCAATAAAAAAAGTAAATAAATGTTATGGTAGTCTTCAAACAAAGCTTGATGGAAATGTAATAACTGAAAGTGTTGAATTAGTATCCAAATACAGAGAAGAAGAGGTTAGAGTTTTCGAAAGAATTATTAAAATCATTGAACCAGATGAATATGAAGAATCTGAAGATTCATCATTTCCCTTTACTGATTCAATGAGTGCAGATGAAAGAAGAAGAGTAATAACCTTAACATTTTATTTGAAAAGAATACTTTCCATTAGAGAGCTTTCATGCTTTGGTGAACAAACCAGATTCAAAGCCAGTGGCAGAACTGCACTTCAGGTGTGTATTTTTGATGGTTGCCAGGCAATGTTTGCAAACAGCGCATCTTATGAATCTCACGTAACCCAACCACATCGAATTCTCAAAAGAAGATGTTCAAAAGTATAAACAAGTTTTGGAAGATCAAGAAAAATTCAAAAAACAATTTAATGATGTATTTGAAAAATTTGAAACACAACCTGATCAATCGAAATGCAATATTTTCATTTTAGATTCTGAAACAACTGGTCTTACTTCCAATGCAGAAATTATTGAACTTTCGTGTGCTTGTTTAAATGGGGAAGCATTTTATCGTAAATCAAATCCAACCATTTCCATTACTCCAGAGTCTACCAAAATCAACAATCTCACAAGCCATGATTTAGCAGGTCACCAATATTGGGAAAAGGTTGAAGAGGAATTTTTTAATTTTATTGTCCAACAATCGTCAGATGATGATGCTCCAATTTATATAATCGCTCACAATGAAAAGTATGACAGAGGTAGAATTTCCTTTCATTTAGCAAAATCAACTAAAGCTTTAGAATCATCATTCCATAAAACCATTAGCAGAATTAAATTTTTCGATTCAATTAACATCTTCAAATCAATTAAATTAGTGTTACCAGTGGTTTCAGATAAAAAAAAGGAATCATATTCATTGGATAATCTAGCAACTTTTTTTAAAATCAACACCGATGGTATCAATCGTCATAGCTCAAGTGGTGATGTTTTATTTTTATTTGAAATTCTTTTATTCTTTTTTCATAAAAATTATAAAGATCCAAACAATTTTTTAAAATTCCTTTTCAATTGTTTGGAAACAAATAAAAAAAAACTTTATGGTTTATATTGTTCATTGGCCACAAAATTTGGTTTATTAGCTGATGATGAAGTTTTAGAAAAGAAAATCAAATCTTTCAAAACCCCAATCCTAAACTCGGTTATTCAAACATTTAAAATAGATATTTTGCCAAACAAAAATGATAACAACAAAAGGATCTTTAAAGAGATGGAGACAGAAAAAAAACCAATAATAATTATCATCACCTGCCCCATCTACACAATTTAAACCAGCAACCGTTAAACCATCAGCTAAACCAGCTCCACCTCCAAGCTATATTTAATGTCACAATGCCAACATCAGATTTTTGTATTATTGAAAGGGTAAGTCAAAAATTCGTGGTTAGCAATTAAGAATGGCGCCTGTTCACTATCTTCATTGTGTGGTGTCGCTGACTAGCTGGATCTTGATATTGAAGTTTCTTATATATTCTATTAATATTTTTGAATTCTCTTTCCCATGCTGCTGCGCAGATTAACTTGAATCTCTTGAGTACTCTTTCATATGTTAAATCGTAGGCAAATGCTCATGATTTTTCTTGTTTCTTCTGTACCATATTTGTTCGAAAATCGTTGCTATTAAATTTGCTAGGAATGGTTTATCCAGTTTGGTAAGTAAAGTAGATCAAATAATACTACACCAAATTCATCACCAGTTATAAATTCATCCACCAATAAATACTCAATACAACTACCACCAATAAAATGCTCAATGCAACAATTTTTTAATTTAAAGATAATTTTATCTTAAATACCATAAAAAATAATTATTTTCACGCACCAACAAAATTTTATTTTTTTTTAATTTTATTTTTTTTTAATTTTTTTTTAATTTTTTTTATTTTTGACTGTCAATTTTTTTTTAAATTAAAAAACTGTCACCCCCTTGTATGCAGTGTGGTAACATATAAGTATAAAACATACACCAAAAACTAAAAAGATTACAATAAAAATAGTGATGACTTAATGTATCATTAAGAATCATCTTCACTTTTTAAAAAAAATAAAAAAAATAATCTGCTATATAGCAACTAAAAAAGGATTAAATATATATTAAAATTAAAAGGTTTATTTAATAATTTTATAAACAAAAAATATTTTTATATACAGGTTTTTTTTAAAATGGTTTTTATCTTAGTTTGGTAAAATGGAACGTAGAGTCTCTAGAGTTAAAAGCTCCATATGAGCTTGTTCTTCATTACTAAAAAGATGATTTTCATATTGAATATTAGTGTTGTTGTTGATATTTTGTGGCCCAGATGTTGTTGTTGTAGTAGTTGTTGTAGTAGTAGTTGCAGAGTAGTAGTTATTATTATTATTTATATTATTAATGTTATTATGATAATTATTATTATCATTATAATTGTAATAAAAGTCATTATTCAAATCATTATTAAAATGGAAATGAGTATTATTTTTATTACTATTGGGTTGGGAATTATTGACATGATTATAAATATTATATGTATTATTATTAGTTTGATTAAAATTGTTTTGATTTGTATTGACATTATTGTCATTTGTAATGATTTCAGTTTGTTTAAGATTTGTTTCCAAATAGTTGTAATATTTTATGTTTGTATTTTTTTCTACATCAAAGGTTGAAAAAATTCCACCAAACAGAGGAGGAGAGGCAGTTGGTTCATTTATAATATAAGACATCTTTAATTTGGGACCTAGATTCTGAGATGGATTTTCTAATGTGTATTTTGGATTTGATTTGTTATCATATATTTCTTCAATATTTTCCAATGATAATTGCATTTCTTGATTATTTTTAAAATTCATTTTAGTTTATTAATTATGAATAATATAATAATAATTATTTTTATTATTATTATTTAATATGATTATGATTATAATAAAGTTATTATTATTACAGAAAGAAGCTATATTGTGTGAAATAATTAAATTTTGGTTGTGTTGTTATGAAATTTTGTAAAAAAAAAAAAATTATAAAAATTTTTATAATTTTTAAATTTTTTATTTTTATTAATTTTAGAATATAGATTGATCTGTTATTATAATTATGATGGAAAAAAAAAAATTTGGATGGGGTATTTATTTTCAAAGATTGAAAATTTTTAAATGGGGGTATGAGTGTGGGAAAGAGTGTGTAAATTAAAAAAAAAACTTTTTTAAAAAAAATTTGATTGGAGATGATATAAAAATAGATTTTGAGAGGTTTATTAAAGTCTATTATTAGATTTGATTTAATATTTTTCAAATAATAAAAAATTAAATTACATTATTTATGAAATCACATCATTGAGATTTAGAAAAAAATTAAAAAAAATATTTTTTATTCCCAACTTTCAAAAAAAAAAAAAAACCCCACACTCAAACACATATAAAAATATACAAACACTCTTTTGACCACACATTGACACATGTGCTCCCACACTCACAGTAAACATTACCCAAATACATAGTAATTTTATATAATGTAAAATTAAAAAACAGTTAATAACCATCCAATAAGTTTGAACAACAAAAGTATATATATTAAAAATATAATAATAATTTTTAATATACATAGATAATTGTCAAATATTTTTCATTAATAAAAACAAATTTATTATGATTTTATATAATTACATTAAATTGTAAAGTGAATAACAAGTTATATGATATGATACTTAAAGCCTATATATTATTAAAAAAACTCTTACAATAATTATAATGATTTCTATTATATGATATGGTGTGAATATTTAAAACAAAACCAATAATAAATTATATATAGCATTTTATTTGGATGATTTCCAGGATTTGAATTGATTTCTTTTAATTTTGATTTCTTTATATATATTAATTTTTATTTTTATTGGGAAATCAAGTTGTCATTAAGAATGTGGGATTTAAATGGAATACACAAGTACATCTAAAAAATTACTGATTACTAAGAAAATAATTATGAAACTTCAAAAAATGAATAAAATAATTATAAAAATTATGGATCATTGGGTTCAAAAAAATAAATAAATATCTTTACAAATAACTTTTAATATTATAATTTACAGATCATTAAATTGTTATTATTAATAATGTCGCCTCTTATTTCTTTGAATGAAATAATTGCATTATCAAAGCAGTCAAAAAAGACCTACCTAAATACCTCAAATAAAAAAGAAATATTCAAAATAATTTATTTCTTACTTGCAATTTTCTTTTAAATTGTTTATTATTTTTAGTAAATATAAAGTTTATAAAAATTTTTATTTAATTAATTTATTTGATAAATTATGAAGAGAAAACGAGTATCCATTAAAAACTAAAATGAATTTTTTAATATTGATAGTAAAAGTGCCACTATTTTCCTTCATAGCCTTAAAAATATCTAATAATATCTCCCTTATTTCAATAATTGAAAGATCGGGATCCAACATGAAAATCGAAGTTACCTTTGGAAATGGGTCTGGATGCACAAGGTATTTAATGTCACCCCTATATTCATTAAAATAGTTTGAAAGTTTTCTGTACTGTTGCCCACACGCATTACATAAATAACAGCTACTAAATAAAAAATAAATAAAAGAGATATTAATATTTTTGTAAACAATAAATAAAAGATGCTAAACTTACTCGGGCCCCTTTCTCCACACTCCAGTAGAAGTAGCTTTACATCTCAAACTATAAAATTTTATTAGTATATTTATAATGAGTTAATATAATTTAAAAAATAGAATAATTATTATTAAATTTACTCACCCAAATCTATCCAAAGGTGCTTTTGGTCTTCCTACCTTTCTTACTTCTGAACTTTCACTATTTTCTTCTTTTAAACTATTATTTTTTAAATTTTTATTACTTTTAACCATGTTTTTTTTTTTTGAAATAATGAATGAATATTAATTATAAAACAGGTTTAAATCATTTTTAAAAAAAAAAAAAAAAATAAATAATAAATAAAATTTAATAATGAATTTATTTTTTCATTTTTTTATATAATATTAATATATTTGGTTATTGTTATAATTATATTGAAGGGGGAATTAAATATTTATGTGATTGTTTTTTCATTTTAAAAAAGTAATATGGAGAAAGTTGTTATGTTGGTTTTGGTGGAGGGGGTAAGTTAGTTATTGTGTTGATGTTATCTCTTTACACACAATAGAAATAAAAAAACACATCCCCTAAAAGTTAAAAAAAAAAAAATAATAAGAGAACAATATGTAAAATTATAAAAAAAAAAATAAAATTAATTTTTTCTTAAAAACACAAGTATTTCAAATATGGTATAGTGAGTGTGTTTTAATAAAAAAATATGTTTTTGTTTTCCACCAAATAGTTTTTATATAAAATTTTAATTTAACCCCCCTCCCACAAAAGGAAAACCCATTTTTTTTTTTTTTTTAGACCCCCCCCCCCCCACTATCCAAATTCGATTGTTATTAAATGAAATTATATACAACGTTGCATTTTTATTATTGTAAATTTTTTTTTAGAAACCCACCCACTATCCTAATTTGGTTGCTATTAAATGAAGTTATAAACAAAGTTGCATCTTCATTATAAATTTTTTCTTAATATTTAACAAAAAAAAAAATAATAATAATAAATATAGCTCTTTTCAAATGGTTCTATTTTTAACACCTAAAACTTAATCAAAATTTAGAGAAACAATTAAAAACAACCAATACAAATAAATATAATAAAAACAAATAACTACAAAACAAATAAAAAGAAATAATTAAAACAAATTTGAATGCTATATAATTTTAAAATTATCATTTGTCTATAAGCTAAAAATATTTGATTTTTATTATTTTTACTAACCTAAAGGTAGATATTGACTTTATTTGGAGCTAATAACATTTCTGAAAGTATTTTTAGTTTTAATCTTTCCCCTATAGCATTTCCTTTGGTAAAAAATATCATTTAATTTATTATTCATGAGAACCTTTCTTTTGTAATATTTTGCTCTTGAGTTTTTATGATTATATACACCTATTTTTGTTATTATTGTTGTTATATATTATATTTTCAATTAAAATTTCCATATGTTTTCATCTTGAATACATTTCTAAGATTATCTTGACAATTTGCGAAATTTATTAAATTGTCAAATGCATTTTTATTATCGCCCAATTTGAGTCAAATTATTCTTATCACTACTACTGTTCTTATTGTTACTATTTTTGTTGACACTTCTATTATTATTATTTTTGTTATCATAGCTACTTCACTACTATTTTGATAGCTATTGTAATTATTATTTCTATTATTATTGTTGTTGTTTATACCGTTGTTGCAACCCATTGTTTTGATTGTTTTGATTATTGCTATATTTATTGTAATAATTATTGTTAATGTTGTATAATATTATTATTATTTTTGATATTATAATTATTCGTTGTGGGATATACAATACTTTTTTCTTTCCAATATAATTATGTCATCTTTGATCTAAACCCTCTTTTAAATATTTTGAAATATGTATTTGTTTCTTTTTGTTTTTGATTTCATGTAATAGGTCGAAGAATATCCAACACTTTTAATAAATTTCATAATATTGGCAAGTTTAATTTTAAACTCTGAATTGGTACATCCATTTTTAATTGATAATAAATTGAACAATGCATATTTGAATATTTCATCGATAGTTTTTATTATTATATTATATTATATCTTTGTTAATAGGTATTTTATTTATTCAATCATCTATTGATTATATATTGTTATTAATTATTATTAAATTATTTGTTTTTTATTTTTTAATGTATTATATTTATATTTAATTATTATTGCATATTATTAGTATTTAATCTTTGTTAAATTTATTTTTATATTTAACCCTTAAAGTCTCTAAAAAAATTCAAAAAAAAAAAAAAAAAATTTTCTAAAAAAAAAGCGAAATTTTGTCCAATTTTTATTTTTTTTTTTTTTACTTTTCAAAATCGAATTCATAAGAGTTTTGCAGAAAATAATTTTGAAAAATTAAAAAAAATAAATAAATTTAGCATACTTTGGAGGGTTAATAATAAAAATTCTTATTTAAAAAATTTACTTAATTAAATTTTAAATAATCACTAAAAAAATATTTTATTTAAAGTTTAGAAATTTATTTGTTATTGACTAAAAAACTGATTAATAATTTTTTGTTTGAATTGTCAATGTTATTAGATGTATTATTATTCATATTATTATTATTCATATTATTATTCATATTATTATTATTCATATTATTATTATTATTATTATTCATATTGTTATTCATATTATTATTATTATTCATATTATAATTATAACTGATAACACCATTATTAATATTATTGTCTGGAATAGTATCAAAAACAATGTTTCTGTTGATATTTAAATTGACATCATTGGAAAGCTTTGTCATATTTGTAGTATCAATATTTGTTTTATAGTAATTGGAATATGAATTAAAGTTTGGATTGTAGGTATAATTGTAACTATTATTCATTTTCATATTCATATTATTTATATTATGAGTGGTATTATTGAATGAATAATTACAGTTGTTATTATTATTAATACTATTAATACTATTATTACCGATGTTATTATTAAAAATATTATTTTGATTGGACAAATGATTAAATGGTGCAGCTCTATTATAAGATCTAAAACCGACAAAATCCTCTAAAACAGTGATATGTTTGTTATTATTATTATTATTACTATTATTAATATCATTATTATTATTATTATAGATATTAACATTGTTATTGTTAAAAAAGCAAACATTATCGTTCGATTGAATTGGATTTTGGGTAGCTATCTTCTTTGTGGCAGCAGTGGTGGTAGTAGTAGTAGTAGTAGCAGCAGTAGTAGTAGCAGTATCATCTTGATTTGTTTTTTCATTTAATTCTAAAGTTTTTTGATCCCTTTTTCTTCTTTGGATTAAAAGATCTCTCTTTTTGGATTCTGAGATGTTGGTAATAGAGTAAACTCCATTGTCAAAAGTTTTAATACGTTTTGGTTTATATTCACCCTCTGGAACTGTATCAGTATTAACATCATATTCGTGTTCATAGAAATGATAGAAATTACCAAGATGACGGCTTGGATTGTATGAAGATTTATCGACGATACCATTGCCAATGAATATATGTGTTGTTTTCTTGCTGTTTCTTTTAGATTTGAACCATATTTTGATCTTTTCTTTGGTAACACCATAGATTAATGCAAAGTACGCAATGTTCTCTTCAGCGGGAAATGGGTAATTGTGGAAGAAAAAGTTTAACTCGTTGGTGTTTCTAGAAAACTTTGAGACATATGAATCTTTGTAAGATGTATTGTTAGATTTCCTTAAGTTTTCCCTCTTGTGTTTGAACCATGTGACGACTTGACTGACATTCATTTCTAATTGGCAGGCGATGATCTCTTTCTCGATGGAGTCTGGGAATGGGTTTTTATCGAAGCAATACTCTAATATTGCTTTGGTAATTTTAGATTTTAATTTTGGATCTACAACATATTCAGAATTTACATCGTTTAGATCAATTATACCAAAGATAGCATCGGGGGCACTTATAGCATTTAAAGCATTGATAGTAGCGGTATTATAGGCCTTATTTTTAACCATCTTTTTATTTATTTTTTTTTTCAAAAAATATATTTATTAATTTAATTATTTATAATTAATAATAATACCTGCAAAAGAGAAAATGAAATAATGAAAAAAAAAAAATTAAAAATTAAAATAAAAAATAATTTGAAAAAATTAAATTAATTTAGGGTTAAAAATAGAAAAAAATACAACTGATAATTTTTTTTGAAATATTGCTTACAGTTATAAAATTTATTTATTTTTTAAATGATAACAAGTTTACGAGTACTTAGATACAACGAAATAAAATAGAGGTATTTTTTTATTTTTGTTGAAAAAATTAAAAAAAAAAAAAAAAAATTATAAAAAAAAAAAAAAATTAAAAATTAAAAATTTTAATATTTTTTTTTTTTGAAGATATTTTGTGGAGTGATTGAATCCACCGCCGCATTTGAGTGGCTCCAGAGAGATAAAAAAAAATTTATTTTTTTTTAAATTGATTATTATTTTTGTTTTAATATATTTTATAATTTTGTGCATGTTTTGATCAAAATTAAAAAAGATAATTCCAAAGATGTTTGCATTGGATTACAAGCAAACCATATGAATTATCATGTGCTATTCCGATCAGTAACAGCAATTTACAAATTTGGATGCCAGTAAATAAAAGTGTTCTCTTTTTTTTTTTTTTTGTATGAATCTTTCAAAGATTTTAAAAATTCAGTTTTTAAAAAAAAATTGGTGATTTAATAATAATAAAAATAATAATAGCAATAATTAGTAAAATAATCTAAGTTTTCCAAAGTGTTGTCAGAAAAAGGATGGTGGAAAAAAAAAAAAAAAAAAATTAAAAGATGATAAAAATTTTGAAAAAAAGTAAATTGGGCAACTAATTGATTGAATCTTTTTCAATTTTTTTTTAAAAAAAATAATTTTTATTTTTTTAGGAAAAAATATATTTCAATTTTAATAAAGAGAAGCAGATTCTAGCCTATAAAATGATATACAATGTAAAACTCTTCAAAATCCAACTATATTCATTACAAATCCAAATTCAGAGTGCCATGGTTCAATCATGATAGTGGTAGTGTTATATAATATAGGATAGGGCAATAATCCACTTTCTATGTTATGGTTACATGATAATTTCAACTTGTTGACACTCGTTCAACCTAATCATGTCGTTAGATTAATATAAATATATTTAAATTAATCTTTCAAATTATATTTCCAATATTATATTTATTTTAATTATTTATTAAATAAAAAAACTAAAAATCATATTTTTTAAATATAAATTAAATCCCATTTTAATAAATTTAATTATATGCTATATCAAATAAAATTGAACTCTATTTCTTTAGATTAAAATTTTGAAAAAATAATTTTATCATTTTAAAAATTTAAAAAAATTAAAAAAATCAACAAACCAAAATTTTTTTTTTTAAATTAATTTAATTGATAATATTATCACCCAGAACAATATTCACTGATATTGCTGTTTTTTTTTTTTTATATGTATTGAATTTTTATTATGATAATTATCAATTTTTTGATTTTAAAAATATCCATCTTTAAAATTCCCAAAATAATGCATTGAGTGTTTTGTATTTTTTTTTATGAAAAAAATTAAAAAAATTAAAATACAAAAAAAAATTTTTAAAAAAAATTATAATTCAAAAAAATAAAAAAAATTAAAAAAAAATAAAATTTTTTTTTTTAAAAATAAAAATAAAGTAAAAGGAGCGGTCCTTTTGCCTTTTTTTTTTTAATCTATATTATATTACTCAAAAAAAGAATGTTTTTATTTTATTTTTTACTTTTTAGATTATTATTATTAATATTACTATCCTTGATTTTAAAATCAAAATGAGGATTATGAAAGACCATACTACAGTCTTTATATAAACAGATTTTATGACACACACTCGTTATATACACCCATATCATTACAAAAACCTTTAACTTTGAGGGGATGATATGCACAATTTTTTCTTGAATTTTCCACTCTTGGGTATGTTCTTGATCTTTGGTCATTTCGTTGTGGATCGATAACCATTTTTGTTGAGTCTACATAATTATGGCAAAAATTGTATTACTCTTGGAGTTTTCAAAAATTTTGTAATAAAACCATCTTTACCATCATTAAATTTAGATTCCCTTTGACGCTCTAATTCTTTTTTTGATAAAATTGATTCAGGAGTATTGTTAAAACATTACTGTTGCTATTTGTTCAAATATATTGACACAATGATCCGAAGAGAAATAATATAAATATATTATTATTTAAATAAAAAAAAATGAAAAAATAATCTAAAATTTTTTTTAAAAAAAAATAAAAAAAAACACTTTTTTTCAAAATTTTTTTTTAAAAAAATTAAAAAAAAAAAAAAGGAAGCATGCTTCCCATTCTCCAACATTTTAAGGGTTAATAATAACAATCGTTATCACTCATCATTTCATTCACCTCTAAAATTATAATAGTTATTTAATATTATTGCTTTAATAATATATAATTTTTAAAAATAAAAAATAAACAATATTAAAAAAAAAAAAAAATATCAAATAAATAAGTTGATTTAAAAATAAATTATGTTTAGCAAAATCTTTGAATAAAAAAGAAAATAATAATGAAAATGATAATCTTCCAAAATACAGTTCAGATAATATTATGAAATTTACGTTGACAATGTATTCAGCAAAACTATTTAGGTAACTGATTACGACATTCGCTAATGTGTGTTAAAAAACTACGAAAAGTTTCAATAATAGATAATTTTGATGAAGAAATTCCAAAGCCACCAAAACCATCAATACCTGCAGCATCAATCAAGAAATCTTTTTAAGTTCTAAATCATCTGAATCGAGTTTTGCTTCAGTTATCAATACATCAACATTGGCATTGATCGCTGCAGTTATTTCAAAAACGAGTTTTGTATATACAGTTCGTACAAGCTATACCAATGATGTTGCCTTTTTAGATTCAAATAATATTGAAGATAGTTCCATGTAATAATTTCAACTCATATTAACAAAGGAATCCAATTCAATATTGAAGAACAAATAAATCTGCACCCTATACTAATTATAGTATAAATAACAATAATAAAACTTTTAAAGCAACAGATAACTATAATAAAAAGCAATAAAATTAACACTTTAATAAACACTAAGTAATAATAATAATAATAAGTCATTGTTTATTAAATAAAAAATAAAAAAAAATTTATAATTTAAATATAAAATTAAAATAATTTAAGTATAGTAATATTAATTTATTTTATAGTTGTTTTAATTTTAATTTTTTATAAAAATAATTAGTTTTTATTGTTTACATTTTAAAGTAATTGGAATTAAAAGATCTATTTTTTTGGTTTGAAATAATATAAGTTTTTGGTTTCTAGGTTTTCAAAGTTTTGTATTATTTGTGGTGTTAAAACTTGATCAAAAAATTGATATTTAGGGCCGTTCCACTCTACATAATAGCTACCAAGTTTTATGACGAATTGGTCACTGCTGGCACGGGAGCATTTGAATAACCTTTTGATTAAATCAGCTATATGTTCAACAGAGGTATAAATTCTTAACATATATACGTCTTTAATAAGAGGGGCAATGTGGCTGTACATGGCATATTGATAGTCAACTTTATATGGTGCAAGGACCTTTAGAATCTTTTTATATTGAAGACCGCAACTATTGCATAAATAACAATAGCTATTAGAAAAATTAAAAAAAAAAAATTAATTGTCTATTTATATAGATTATATTTTTTAAAATGAATACTTACCCAGGCCCTCTTCTCCACCCACATGAATTATCTGTTTTACATCTTAAACTATTTTATTTTCTTTTGTTAATATTAAATTTTTTAAAAACAATTTTTTACATAAATAATAATAAAATGAAAATATACCAAATTTTTGGTTCTGTTACAGGTGGTCTACCAGCTTTTTTCTTTTGTGAACTATCAATTGGTGTATAGCTACTTTTTCCTTTATTAACTTTTAATTGTTTTTGGTTTTTTGTATTTGAAACATTTTTTGATGATTTCATATTTATTGTTTGAATTTTTAATTATAATGAATAATCTTTTAAAATACGAAACAGTTTTTATATCTTTTTTTTTTGAGAAAAAATTAAAAATAAATATAAATACAAATTTAAATATAATCGAAAAAAATAATAATATTTGTGTAATGTTAATTTAATTATAATTTTTTTTTTTATTATTTTTTTTTAGATTTGATCCAAATTGGTTTAGTATTATTATTATATTTATGAATCAATAATTTTGATATACCACGCTATAAAATCCAATTTATATGATTATGGTTGTGCATTTATTGGGGGAGTATTTGTGTGTTTGGGTGTTTAATTTTTTAAGTTGTTTTTTTTTTTTTTACTTGTGTTTGTATTTTTTTTACTTGTGATTGTATTTTTAATTTCTGTTTTTTTTGAAAAACTGTTTATTTATGCTTAATGTGGGTTTGTTGTTAAGAGTGGGTGAATGAGTGAGTGTGGGTGTGAGTGAATGAATGGGTGAATGGGGGTAATTAATAATATTTTTTGTATTTAGATAGTTACATTGTGAAAATTTTAATCACATCAACACACTACCTAAATATAATAACAATATTAATATTAAAAAAAAAACAAAAGAAATAATAAATTTAAATTATAATAAAAAATAATATGCAAATACCACAAACACTTTCCTAATTTTTTTATGATGAAACAATTTCGTTCATATAAAAAAGCTAATAGATTTATTATTCCTTTTATATTTTTTTATCTACATATCAAAAACAAAACACTTAAATTTATAATGTTGGAATAATTATAAAGTAAACCAAAATATAATGTTCCATACACAAAAAAACAAATATATAAAAACAAATATATAAAAACAAAAACAATAAACTAAGAATACTATTGTTTTAAATTATAACAAAATTATTTTAATATTTGGATTATTTAATTTTTATTTATAATGAGATATAACATTGTTATTGACATTATTATTTTTTTAATAATTCCACTATTATTATTATTTATATCCATATTATTTTTATTATTATTATTTGAACAATAGTTAAGTTTGTTGGTTTTTGAAAAATTTATAAATTAAACCTATAACGTTTTTTTTATAAAAGAAATATACATTTTATTTAAAATAATAACACTGGTACATTCTATACTTTTTATGAACGAAAATTTAATTCGAATTTGCAGTGAAAAAGACAACATCGAGACCTTATTATTTGTTTGAGTGTGGCTTTTTTTCTTCGGTTTAATGATATTATTATACTATATAATGTTTCATATAATATTTTGTTTTTAATTCTGGAAACTTTTGTATTATTAATTTTTTTGTTGACTTTGAACACTTTTGAAACAACTGATTGATTTGGCTCTGGTGTAAATGGTTGGACCTGAAACGATGGCTCTAATTGTGAAAAATACTGTTCGTTATACTCTTCAGGTGATTCATATTCTGAATCAGTATCTTCACTTTCATAATCATTATATTCATCTAATGATTTACATGGCAAAAAGGGTGTATTATTATTTTCAGACTGATCTGAATCCTATTTAAAAAAATTGAAGAGATATAAAATAATTTTAGATATAAAAAAAAAAATAAAAAAAAAACAATTAGTGTATTTAAAATGATTTTTTAAATGATTTAAATTTACGTTTTTGTTTAGTTCTTTATTTTCAGACATCTATATAATAAATTTTAAATTTTATTTAGAAATAAATATACATCTAAAATAATTTTTGTATTTTTTTTTATTTTATAATAATTTTTAAATACCTTATTTTATTTTTATACAAAAAACGTATTGATTATATTTTTAATTTTTAATTTTTTTTAAAATTTTTTTTTTTTGAAATTATATAAATTTTATAAACAATTAATATAACAAATAAATGGAAAAAAAAAAAAAGTGATGATTAAAAAAAAACAATCAAATACTTTTTTTTTTTGGGTATCACCACTCAACAAAGCTCACAATAAATGAATAAAAATTGCAGCAACAAAACAACACAAAGGCTCTAAAACAAATTTTTTAATTTTTTTTGGGGATGTGATATTGGAGGTTGTGTATTTTTGATTAACACACCCTAATCCTAAAACTCCTAAAAATAAATTAAAATTAACTGCGCTATATTTCATTCATAATAATAAAAAAAATGAGTGTTAAAAATTAAACTGTTTATCTTTTTTTTTTTTTTTTTTTTTTTTTTTTTTTTTTTTTTTCATAATTAAAAAATGATTTTACCCAATATAAACAACTTTTCACAATTGTCAACAGCTATGTATATCTGTCACCCACACACAATAAACACTTTAACACACCTACACCAGTTTTTTTTTATTTTGATTTTTGATTGAACTCAACAACAATTACCACACAAACACATTACCAAAATATACATATAATTAAAATTAATTTTTTTTATAATAAAATTAAATATAAATTTTTTTTTTAATATGCAAAATAATAATTGTTGTAAATTAATTATTTTTTATTTTAAAAAAAAATAAAAAAATATTAAAAGTGAAAAAAAAAACAAGGGGTGTCTCGACAAAAAAAAATTAAGAAATGAAATTTTTTTTTTTTTTTTATATATAAAAAAAAAGTAATGCACATAATTTTTTTAAAAAAACGCCTCCAAACACCCCCTTGAAAAAAAACTTATTTTTTTGAAAAACACATCAATTTTTTTTTTTTTTTTCATTTTTGTTATTTTTTAATTTTTTTAATTTTTTTTGCAAAATGTTATCACTCTAATATATTTAAATTAAATCACTGCCATTACAGTCATAAGCTGCAAATATTTCGATAATGGCTTCATACATTACGAACAATGTTATAGAGAAACAAACTACGTTAAATTTTTCTAAATTTGTAAATAAAAAAATTAACTTAAAATTTGAATAAAAATAATATGTAAATATTGTTATTACTTTTTTTTTTTTTTTTTTCACACACACTAAACAAGAAACAAGAACCAATAAAATAAATATGCATAAATAATATATTTGCTATACTTTATCATTCAAAAATAAATAAAAAATAAATCAATAAAAAAAAAAATAATAAATTAATTAAATAATATAACCAATAGTAAACAATTATATTTTTACCCTTCATCTAGCACATACCACAGTTATAAGCGCATTTATCAACCTTTTGATTGTTAACAATAAAAAAAAATTTGTTGTAATTGTAGTAATAAATAATAAAACAACACAATAACAATAATAATAATAACAAAAATATATCTATGATGATATTCAAAAATACATTTATAACCAAATCCTAATAGAAATTAACAATAATTTAAATTAAGTTTGGAAATTTTGTTTATTCACCTATTATGTATATATAATTAGCCCAAAAAGTAAAAATGATTTAATAAAAATAATTAAATAATAATAATTTTTCTTTATTTTAATATTTTTAAAAAAATTATAAATACTAATTACTTTTTTTTTATTTCATCATTATAAATCAAACCAAAACATTTAATTAAACTAAAAAAAAAAAAAAATGGACAGCTTCTATATTTATACTGAAAATGAAGACAAAAAATCTGTTAGTAATAAATACATCCAATAAATTTGTTTTAGATTACTAATTTTTTTTTTTTTCTTTAAATTATAATTTTTTAGATTAAACCATTATCTTTTATTTTGGATTCTAGTTTCCCAGGATTTTTTCGATATATTATTAAATCCCAAACCAACTATTATGAAAAAGGAAGCAAAGATAATCGTTATTCAAATTTCGATTATCCACTACACAACGCCAGTATGGATGATCCCAAAGGTTGTGGCTATGAAATCCCACCAGTTAAAAGTGATGTCATTTATGTATATAATAACTATAATTACACCTCTAGTACATCATATACCAGTCTAAATAATACTTCGATTTTTCAATATGGCAATAAATCTTGTTTTAGTAACGCCATTATGAATGGTTATAAAAATAGTGATGATGATATAAATTTTAATTACTGTTATAATCACTACCCTATTCAAGCTGAAACACCAGTTCCAACATCAATGGTATCACCAACACCAATGGTATCATCTGCACCAATGGAAACATCCGCACCGATGGTAGCTTCAACAACGTTTACAACTCCTCCATCAATGGTAACATCATTAATTCTTCCAGCGATACCAGATTACCCAGCTATGCCATCAATACCAGCTATTTATCTTTGTAATGCTTGTGCCAAAGCCGAGTCTATCAGAATTAAATCGGAAAATGAAGCAGCTTCAAAATCAAAATTATAATTATTTCTTTTTTAAAAATAAAATTAAATAAATTAGAAGTTTTTAATATCATTTTACATTGTTTATTTTTAAAATGAAAACTATATAGTTTCTTCAAAATTAGAAAGTTATAATTATGGTTACCCAAAGACCAAAGAGGATATCATGTATTTGATGATTGTTATTATGAGGAATACCCAAGGATATGATTTCTTTAAAATCTTATGCGGAAAATAATATTTTATTTTTGATCACAAAAATAAATAACTATTAAATCAAGTGTTTAAAAGAATATATATATGAGGTAATATAGGTGTATATACATATGTAAGAGTATATGAATATGACAATAAAACCTAAAATATTATTTTTAAAAAAAATAAAACATATAAAATATAAATGAAAAAAAATATTGTTTATTTATTTATATTTTATTATTTAGATAATTGATTGGTATCGTTTACAATTAGTTATAATTTATTACATTCATATTATTTTATTATTTTATTCACCAAAATTTGTATACAATTATAAAAATATAATATCGAAATCATTAATTAGAATTTCTTTGAATCCTGGTATTTGGGGTGTTCTCCCATAGGTAGTTTTTGATTTCGCTTGAGCTTGATGGTGGCCCACATATCACTGCAATTTAATTTGGATATTTTTAATTTTATTTGATGAGTAATCTGCCACTTTAGCTTTTACTGATTCTATTATTATTTAAGTATTATTCCTATTAAATTGATAGTTCTGATATAAGTTTTATTTGTTATTTTTTGGTTCTTTCTGTAATTTGGTTCCTGTAAAAGCTAATATATGTACTAAATTTAATACTACATAAATCATTATTTTTGAAACATTAAAATCTTTTGCTACAGTAAAAAACTCCTTGTGTTTCCTTATTTTCTTTGATTGCTGGAGATGATCTTGCTACTGCTGTTGATTTATTATTTGCTAGCTTCATTATTGTGAGTCTTTCTATTTTTTATGGTTGTTTGGATTTTTCTTGCAGCTTCTGTTGTTGATGGAATGGATTTTTGTTTATTATTTTAACTGGTAAGGATCCATTCTATCATCGCCTTGTGTGATTCTTCTTTGACTGATTTCTTGTGAATGGACATCCTCAAGTATTCCAATATTAATTATTTTTTGTGGTTGGGTTATTGAGAATGTGAATTGGGTTAATATACTTTCATCTTGGGTTAAGTTTTTTGGGATTGCATAAGTTGTTGATGAAAGGTCGTCTAATTTCTTCGTGATTCTATACTCTGGTGAATTTGGTTTTCAATGTTTACATCAGGTAAATCTATTATTGCCAAACGAATCATTACTTTGAAAATGTTCTTGTCATTGCCTAGTTTGTTTATTGGTCTTTTATCGTTTTGTAATTTAAGTTCAGTTTGAGCTGATTTTCTTCATGTTTTGAAGTATCTGTTATTTTACATTGTTTTGGTTTTATTATTATTGTTAATAATTTATCTATCATTAATATTATTTAATTCTGCTAATGGTTTTATGGAATGATGATTCTAAAGCTTTAGTTGATTTTGTTAAATGAAAGGCAATTCTACCTCTGTCATACTTTTCATTGTGAGCGATTATATAAATTGGAGCATCATCATCTGACGATTGCTGGACAATAAAATTAAAAAATTCCTCTTCAACCTTTTCCCAATATTGGTGACCTGCTAAATCATGGCATGTGAGTTTGTTGATTTTGGTAGACTCTGGAGTAATGGAGATGGTTGGATTTGATTTACGATAAAATGCTTCCCCATTTAAACAAGCACACGAAAGTTCAATATTTTCTGCATTGGAAGTAAGGCCAGTTGTTTCAGAATCTAAAATGAAAATATTGCATTTCGATTGATCAGGTTGTGTTTCAAATTTTCTAATAGAACATTATTGGTTTTTGAAATTTTCTTGATCTTCCAAAACTTGTTTATACTTTTGGGCATCTTCTTTAGATAGAATTCGATGTGGTTGGGTTACGTAAGAGTCATAAGATGCGCTGTTTGCAAACATTGCCTGGCAACCATCAAAAATACACACCTGAAGTGCAGTTCTGCCACTGGCTTTGAATCTGGCTTGTTCACCAAAACATGAAAGCTCTCTAATGGAAAGTATTCTTTTCAAATAAAATGTTAAGGTTATTACTCTTCTTCTTTCATCTGCACTCATTGAATCAGTAAAGGGAAATGATGAATCTTCAGATTCTTCATATTCATCTGGTTGAATGATTTCAATAATTCTTTCGAAAACTCTAACCTCTTCTTCTCTGTATTTGGATACTAATTTAACACTTTCAGGTATTACATTTCCATCAAGTTCTGTTTGAAGATTACCATAACATTTATTTACTCTTTTTATTGAAGCTTCATAATGGTTGTTCTGGACAATCTTTGATTTAATCAACTCTTTATATGCCGATTTTTCATAAATGCAAAATTCATAGTAAGAAGGGTAATGGACTTTGGAACGAACCATACTAAAAAACAACTCAACTGGATGAGTGCTGAGGTATGCAGTTTATTGTATCATCCAAAGAATTATTAAAATCAACTCTTTCTTTGTTTAAAGCTTCAGCAAGAGATATATTTTGTTTTTGTAGTATTAATTGTTTATTTTGATTTTGTTCGTGTAATTTTTGATATTGTTTTAATTGGGTCTTGTTTTTTTATTGTTTGTTGATATTGTTCCGATTGCTTTTGTTGTAGTTGTTGCAATTGTTGTAATTGTTTTAATAGTTGGTTGTTTTCTTTTATTTTTTGTTGATGTTGTTCCGATTGCTTTTGATGTAGTTGTTGTAATTGTTGCAAAAGTTGGTCGTTTTCTATTATTATCTCTAATTGTTGTTCTTTTTCTTTTAGAGTTTGTTGATTTTGCTGTAATTGTAATTGTTGTTGTTGTAATTGTTGTTGTTGTTGTAATTGTTGTTGTTGTTGTAATTGTTGTTGTTTTTGTATTTCGATTATTTCTATCGAATCTTCTTTTGAATCAAAAGGCTAAGTATCAGCTAAAGTAAACATCACAACAATTAATACAAATTATTATCACAATTTATATATTATACCTTTTTATCATACCTTTAAAATTTTTGCGAAGTGAAACTTTCATCTTGTTATAGAGTCGATCATGATTACAATTTTTAAAATATAGATTTGCCGATCTGCAAAGGAAATCTTAGTCTTTGGTGTTTTTGATTAATGATGGGTTTCAAAAAAGTTTTCAATGTCCAAATCAATTCGTTTTCTTTTTGACATAATTGTAAACGCATCAGAAAGTGCTAGAAATATAATGAATGATGCCGAAAGAACTTTACTCCATCTAGTAGAGAACCTCCGATCTAGTCAAATGATGAGTGTATCCAAACTAGTTGGTCAATCCACTTGCTATCAAATGCGAAACAATTATATCTGGAGAAATAAATCATAATAATATTTAGTCTTTTTTTTTTTTTTTTGAATAAAATTAAAAAAAAAAATTTTATTTTTTTTAAATTAAATTTATTTTTTTTGAAATAAATTTTTATCAAAAACAACAAAATTTTTTTTTTTTTTTTTTTTTAAAAAAAAACGTCTTTTTCATATCTTTTGTGATTTACAAAAAAAAAATAAACTTAATATGAAGTCTTTCAAATAAAATTTTTGTATAACCGAAAATATTTTTTCTATTATATTATTATTAAAATAAATAAATAATTAATTATAAAAATAAAAAAATAACAGAATCATTTATTGAAATCGAAAATGAAAATACTATTTATTCATATGAATCATCTAATATTATAAAAACTATTGTGGTATTATTTTTTTTTTTTACAAATCTTTATGATGAGCAAAGCAGGTGTCAGTTGCTATGAGTGACATGTATTAAATAAAACTTTATTTTTTTTTTTTTAGAAAAATTTGAAATTTGATATTTATTTTAATGAATTTGGATGATTATTTTTTTTTTTTCGTTTTTTTTAAAAATATTTTATTCAAAAAAATTTAAATAATTTTTTTAAAATTTCTATTTAATACCAATGATTTTATTATTGTTATAATTTTGTTTTAAAAAAATTTAAAAAAAAAAAAATATTGGCTGAATTAATTGAATTTAAGGTATGAGTAAAAAAAATTTTAAATATAAAATTTTAATACATTTTATAAAAAATTTGAATTGTTTATTTTTTTTTATTTTTTTTTTTATAATGATTGGTGAGGAGAGTTGTATATCTATTCGCTTTCATCAGAACTGCCGGATGATGGTTCAGCTGGTTGACTCTTTAATTTTTCTTCGTATTGTTTTTTCTCAATTTCCCATCTCTTTTTGTCTTCAGCAGCCATGTTTTCATATTTCTTCTTTTCATCAGCACCGATTTGGCTCCATTTTTGACCTAAAAGTGAACCGATTTCACCAAAAGTACTGCTTGGGTTTTGAGCTTTAATTGTTGATCTATATTCTTTAGAGAAGTAGATGAATGGTGAGAGATAACGACGTGGAGCATTTTCATCCTTGTTCTTCTTTCTACCTCTCTTTTCTTTCTTTCCTTTTTTAGTTTTTGGATCTTTCTTAGTCTTCTTGACTGGAGTTTTCTTGGTTTTCTTTTCTTCGCCTGATGAAGATGAACATGATTCCTCTGAAGAACTCATTTTCTTTGTTTGTAGTTTATATAAAAAAAATAAAAAATATAATATTTAGCTTTTTAAAAGTTTTTAAATAATAAACTATTATATATTAAATAGTAATAATTATAGATTTAAAAATAATAGAAATATAGAAATATAGAAATATAAAAATATATTTTGAAGTTGAAAAAGAAAAAAGAAAAAAAAAAAAAAAAAAAAAAAAATTAGTAAAAGATTTTTTTAAAAAAAAAAAAATTTTGAAAAAAAAATAAAAAAAATTGTGGATTTTTACAAAATGTATTTTTTTTAAAATAATTAATTTTATTTTTTTTAATTATTAATAGAGGATACTATTAAGCGGATTTTTTTCATTTTTAATTATATGCTAATAAAATGCAATATAATAAAAATAGATAAATAAATAATAAATTAATTAATTAATAAATAAATACATTAATAAATTATAAAATAAAAAATATATATAATCAATGGATGATGATGAAGGAACAAATTAAATACCTATTACCAGAAGGAATTCGATTAAAGACATAGACCAAAAGAAATCTATATCCCATCAAACACAAAGATAATATACTATTAAAAACTATCAATGAAAAATTCAAACATTCAAATTTGATGAGCTGGTAAATCTATGCATTATTCAATTTTATTATCTATTCAAATACATCAATAAAGAAATGGATGTACAGATTCAGAGTTTAAAATAAAACTTGCCAATATTATGAAATGTAAGAAAAATGTTCGATATTCTTCGACCTATAGCATTGGATATCTCTAGAAATGGCACAGTATTCATAATTATTTTTATTTTTATTTATATATTGGAAAGAAAAAAGTAATATATATTCCACGCTGTACTCAATTGCAAGAAATTTACTTTCAGTTGCTTCTTCATCAGTTGAAATACAAAGAACTTTTTCCGGTTCAGAGTTGTTAATTGCAGACAACCGATCAAAATTGGGGGTGGGACAGAATAGAATAATGTGTTTTGTTAAGAAATCTTTATCCATATACAATCATAAAAAAAGAATAAGGTAAAATAGGCATTAGAGGACTTTCAATTCAGACTATATTCCAAATAAAATAATAAAATAATAAAATTAAAAATTAAAAATTAAAAAAAAAAAAAATTAAATAAAAGAAAAAGATTTAATAAAATTTATTTATTAATTTATATTTATTAATTTATTTTTAATTTAATAAACTATTTTATTTATAATTATACATTTGATTTACCATTTTTTAGTTTATCAATTTTTTTAAATATATTTTCTCTATATTTATAACCAATAAATGCAGCAGCACACAATGCAGCACCACCGACAAATGTTGGAATTAATGCTTTCTTTAATGTACTACTTTTGTTATCAGTTTTCTTGTTTCCAAAGTTTAATGTTGAGTTGATTGGATATTTAGATTCACCTATTTTTAAGTATAATTGTTCATTACCATCTTTAATTGAATCAATATTGATTTTTGAATAACTACAATTGTATAAATCATTATTATTGTGTTGAATTAATATATTGAATGTACAATTCATTATTAAATCACCTTTTGATGTATTAAAATGAATTTCAAATGGTTCACCGAATTCATTACCATATACTTCAAACTGATAAGTATTATTACCACCATCTTTAATATTAATTAAACTATTATTAAATGATGGTTTATTATATGATATTGTATATTTTGAAATGAATTCATTATAAATGAATACTGATAAATCAAATGTACCAACATATCCATCATTTAATAATACACAAATCATATTATTTGAAACATTATAATCTTTAAATGTATTTGTACCATCTTTTAAATGTGATTTGATTTCAATTGTAACATTATTTGAATTGTTGACACCAGATTTAGTTTCAGGTAATCTTGAACCGCTAATACACACTGTTCCATTTCTTGTTGAAATATTATTATCTTTTACCAATCCAATTATTGATGGTAACATTATTTTATAGTTTTCATTTGACATTGGAATACTATCGATTATAAGATTAACATTACCATAGTCATATTGTGAATCTGCATCGAATGTAATACTTGTATCACTAATAATTGTACATGTAACATTACAGTTGATAGCTCTAATAATCATATTGAGAATCTGCATCGAATGTAATAGTTGTATCACTGATAACTTTACATGTAACATTTTTATTAGCAAATGTTAAACTACATTTTGATGAATCATTGCCAAAGTTATTACCAGTTAATGTAATTGTTTTTAATCCATTAACATTGTGTGATACAAGTGTTGGTGGTGCATATTCAAATAATGAATTGATTTTTTCAATACCATCAACATAAAATTTAAATGAATGTTTACCAGTTCCAGCACCAACATTACAATTTGTTTCAGTATTTGAAATTAAAGTACAGTCAATATGATTATTAGAGCTATCAACTGTAATAGATGGTTTTACAATAATATCTTTACATGAAAAGTATTTATCAATATGTAATGATGATCCATTTGTCAATGGTCTTGATGGAGCTAATATAAATGTAGGTTGTGGTGTTATTGTTATATTATTATTTGAAATAACACCATTAACTTCAATTGATAGTTTTACAGATGTTTCACATATATTTGGTAATTTAAATGATAATTTAGTTTCATCGTTACTTAATGATGCAATTATAATTTCATTATTTACTTTTCCATCAAGTAAAAGATTTACTGTGCCATTTGTATCATTAATATTACCAAAGTTAATACCAGTTATTGAAAATTCATTTGTTTTATCAATTTGAATTGAATTTGTTGATGTAAAATGAGGTACTCCGTATTTGAAATTTATTTCAGTTGTACTTTCAACTTCATCAATTTATTATTTTAATTTTATTTATAAATCCTTCACCGTGTTCTAATAAACAAACGATTTGAGATGTTGTTGATGATATATATTCACAATTATAGTTTTTATTATCACTACTGATTAATGATACATTTGTAATTGATGTTTGAGATGACATATAACTTCCACTTATTGTAATTATACCGCCATTATATTTTGAAGTTGATACAGTTGTACTAATCGACACAGGTTGTGGTTTAATATCAAATGTATAAATATTTTCTAATGAAATATCCCCGATGGTAATATTTATTTTTAATCGTTGAGAATAATCAGTAACATAATTAAGTTTCAATAAACGATGATCTATTGAAACTATTGGTGTATTTATTCCATTTATAGTAACCTGAGCAACTGATGGGTTATTGTAAAAATTCAAACCTTTTAAATTGATTATTGAGTCTTTATAATTACATTGAGAAATAAAAGGAGGAGCATAGTTTATAAACATTTTTGATTCACTTTGTGAAGAATCAGGATAAAATATAAAACTTCCATAACCTGGTGGAAAATTTACAGTTAAATTTTCAGGGTCAAAATTCTCTTTATCAACACTAAACTTCAATGCTTTACCTCTAGCAGCTCCTTCGACTATGTAATAATCATTTACATAATTTCTTAAATAATTACCAGTAAGTAGAACTTTACCACCTTCAGTCGATGGTAATCCAGATATAGCATAGTTTATTGGATACATAAAATTCTCATCATCAATTGGTTGATCACAAAAAGTTTCGCCTTTAAGAAAAACCATACATCTTTCCATGCAGTTTCCATAAAAGTTTTTTATCTGATTTTCATTCAACTCAATGACACATTTTTCACTGATGCATTTTAATGAATAACTCTCCTTTTTATTTTTACACATTAGATCATCATATAAGGTAAAATTAATTGTTCGTGGATATTTTGTGTCAAACTCTATATATGATCTGTTGTAATATACCAAAACTATAAAAAATTTTAGAAAAAGTAATAAAATCAATTTTTATGAATATTAAAAATATTTACTTTGTTGTGAATAAATTTTAGAAATAAAAAATATAAAGAAAATACAAATATTTATTTTTTTCATTTTTTTTTTTAATATAAATTACAATTAAAAATTAAAAAAGTTTTTAATTTATAATTTTTATTTTTATTTTTTAAAACATTTTTATAACATTTTTAAAACACTATTTTTAGATTATATTTATTGTTCATCAGTTTTTAATTTATTATTATTTTTTTCTTTTTTCAAAAAAATTGTGTGTTAAAAAAATTGAACAATCTTTTGTAGGCAAAATAAATTTTTTTTTTTTTATAATATTTAACAACCACAGCGTGTTATAATAATTGAACAATCTTTTAAAGATAAAAATAGAATTTTAAAAATTCTATTTTTTTTAATATTTTTAAACACAATGTGTTAAAAAAATTGAACAATCTTTTGAAGGTAAAAATTTATTGATTCTGTTATAGTCAAAATCGAAACCTAATTTTATAATCAGACTACATTTTAGATCCAGTGTGGAAATAATGTTTGGACAAAGAATTTTTGAAAGTTGAAAACTACTTTTGGTAAAAATAATAGAATCTGTTATGTATACTTAATTTTGTAGAGCATTGAAAAATGTAATTGTCAATTTTTGATCTTATTAATTTTTTTTTTAAAATCTAGTTTTGAAATCTGTTGTTTTTGAAATGTAAATAGTTATATAACCATTTTATAATTTGTAACTGTTAGACAATCTTCACCTAAAGTTGTTCTTCTTTGCAAAACTCATATTTATTTTCATTTCATTTCTATTGTTTGTTTTCATTGATTTCTGCTGCCATACATTCTGTAACTGTTGATGTTGATTTTGCTACTGGTGTTTATTCGTTTTTTATTTGTTTCATTGTTGTAAGTCTTTCGTTTTTTTATGGTTGTTTTGATTGTTTTTGTGGGCTCTGCTAGCTGTTGATGGAATGGATTTTTGTTTATTTTTTTAACTGGCAAAGGAACAATTATATCATAATCTTGTGCGATAAACATTCTTCTTTTGACTGATTTCTTGTGAGTGGACATCTTAAAGTTTACCAATACAATACCTGTATTGATTATTTTTTGTGGTTCAGTTATTGAGAATGTGAATTGGGTTAATATACTTTCATATTGAGTTTGTTTGGGATTCTAATAAGAGTTGTTGATAAAAGGTTATCTGATATCTTCGTGATTCTATACTTTGAAGTAGTTGTTGGATGAGTTTGATTTTTGAAAATGTTTACATCAGATAAATTTATTATTGTCAAGTGAATCATTGTTTTGAACTTTTTATTGTTCATAAATTTGTTGATTGGATTTATTTCGTTTTGTAATTTACTTCCAGTTTGAGTTGGATTGTCTTCATGTTTTTGGAGTGTTCTGTTATTTTACTTGGTTGTGATTTTTACTGTGGTTTTGAATTTGGTTGGTATTACTATCATTATTTTGGTTTTTATTAGTATATTTAATAATTTTGCTATCATTTATAGCTATTATTTATGCTATTGTTATTAAAAGATATTATTGGTTTATGTAATTGTTGTTAATAGTACTATTATTAGCGTTTCTTGTTAAAGTTTTTTTATAGTATAATAATCTCGATACTGCTATTTATGTATGACCCATTAGGAATCTTTTTCTGGGTATCGATAAAAGAGAGGCAAAGGTGGAGATTTTAGTGGTGTTCTTCTATAGTATAATTATATTCATGTTCTTGAATGATTATTTCCAATACCTCTTCAAACCATTTTATATTCGTTCTTATTTGCTCAAAGTCGAATGTTTCTTGAAGCAGTGATTAAGTAACCTCTTTTTAACTATTTCTCTAAACTATTTTTATATAAGAAATAGTATTTATATTACCTTTAACTCTTCAAAGTTTGAATTATTAAAAACTTTACATTTATTTAAATAACTAAAGAATTTTCATTTTCTTTTTTGAATAAAAACTATTGTGTGGATTTTTATGAAAAAAAATTAATAAAATCTTATTTTCTTGATCTTAATGAATTTTTTTTTGTATTTTTTTAATTTAATTTTATCTTTTTTGTTTTTTTTTTTTTTTTTTTAATTTAATTTATATTTTATTTTATATTAATAAATATAACAATTTTAATTATAAAAAGTTTTAAAAAACAAGATCATTTTTTATGATATTATCTGGAACAATAAAAATTTTTAATGAGCTTGGTAAAAATGATTCATTAGTTGGGTGAGAATAACGAGGACAATTTAATTCAAAATGTTTTAATGTTTGTGGCAATACATTTTCATTGATGGGATTATTAAAGCGGCTAGCTGTAGTAGACCCTTTGTTTCCAATAATTAATTTTAAAATTGAAGAAGGTAGGGATCCAGGTAAAAATATTTGATTGAATCTATTTCCAAAAATCAAAGTTTTTAAAGATTGCGGTAAAACGTCAACAGGTATTTGATTGTTAAAATTATTACCAAACTCCAAGTGGACCAGTTTCAAAGGAAGTGAATTTAACAATAGTTTTTGATTAAATAATGGAGAGAACACAATTTTTTCCACATTGGATGGTAATGAATTTGGGATGATTTGTTTATTAAAAAACTCACCAAAATTCAAATTCACTAATGAATGAGGTAGATAATTAATTTGTTGATTGAATTCTCCAAAATCTAACGACTTTAAATAATTTGGTAGGTAACCATCTTTGATAGGTTTGATTTTTTTATTGAATTAACAAGTACACCTCGAAACACACACTTTTTTATTCTTCATATTTTATCATTTTTTGTCATTTTTATGCAATTTTATAGAAAACTCAACCTTGGTTTTCGATACAACCCAATAAATTTTTTTTAACAAATTTATTTTTTTACTTTTTTATTGCTATATTAATTTTTTTATAATATCATTAATAGAACATTTTTGGAGATCTGAAATATTAAACAAGTTTTTTGAACTTTTTATCTAACCAATTTTTTGCCTGTACCACCAATAAACTATCGAATCCAAAATCTGAAAGTATTGTATTTGTATTAATATTTGATTCGTTTATTGATAATAAATCTGCTAATTTTGAAACTACTGCTTTTTGAATTTCATCTATGTGTTCTTCACTATTATTAACTTTTGTTAATTTCTTTTGATCGTTTAATGAGTTAATTTTAAAGCCAAATGAATTTCCACCATTTTTGACAACTTTATTTATGGGTATATAATTGACTAAAATGTAACTTTTCAAAGTTCATTTTATTAACTAATATGTTATTGTATTCTGTGTGTAGCTTTTGTTTATTTTGAAGTAAAAGGTCTAATACACCTAAAAGAATATTGGTTGGCATTGCTTCTAAACCAATTCCATCCAATAGTTCACCGACTGATTCTGTTCTAGCTACAATACCCGAAGTGCCAATGTGTCCCCAATTTACAGATAAGGCAGATAGACCAAGTGATTTTCTGTATTTTGCTAATGAATCCAATACACAATTTGCAGAGACATAGGTACATTGGTTCATGGTACCAAATAATGATGATATAGATGATACCAATATGAAGTTGCTCACATTCCATTTGTATTTCAATGATAGCTCGTGTAAATTGATTGCTCCTATAGTTTTAGCACCATGTGATCTGTTTATACTTTCAGTACCAATGTTTATTGGCTCACATATATCATGCACAAAAGCATAATGGAATATGGAATCAATGTTATTTATAGATGGATGTTAACTATATCATTGATGGCTGTTTCTATTTGGTCTTGATATTCGACATCGACACTTTTGAAATAATAGTTGATGGCTTTTGTGTTACTAGATTTTGATTTATTCATTAGTAGTTCTAATTCCCATTTTAATGTGGATTTTGATAGAATAATAAAGTTTTCTACTGATATTGAATATTTGGAAATCCATTATAATTTCTAATGCAATTCCGCTTTGACCTGTAATTAATATAGTTTTGCCCAGATCTGAACTGATTTTATAATTAGATTTGATTATTGGTTGTTGTGGTTCTTTGGTGGCTTCATCTTTATTCTGTAATAAATGATTTGTAATATCTCTATCGTAGTTTACAACAATTTTACCAATGTGTTTTCTTTGATTTATATATTCGAATGCTTCTTTGATATTGAGTACTGAGTATTCTGTAATTGGTATTAATGATAGTGTTCTATTTGAAATACTTTCACTTAATTTTTTTATTATATTGTTTACATATTCAAAGTCTAATAGTAAAATTTCAACATTTGAATATGTATAGTTGTATTTAAATTTGTTAAAGTTTATGAATTCATTTGGATTTAGGTGAGTGATTGATAAATCTACAATTCTTTATTTAAGCATCTGAAATTGGATTCTAAATATTCTGCGGGCAAAGTGTTTAATATAAGATCTACACCTTGTTTATTGGATCCTAATTCTTTTAGTTTTTGCTTGATTTTTTGAACATAGTCTTTGTTTCTAGTTGAATAGATACCGGTAATAAGTGATCCATATGTATCTTTCAAAAATTTTTCTTTTTCATCTGAACCAACTGTAACAAATAAATGTGATTTGAATCCTTTCCATTTTAACAATTCAATAGCTGATAAACCTACACCACCAGTAGCTGAATGGATAAGTATTGATTCTTGATCCTCAATATCCAACTTCCCAACTTTGAAGATACTATGAAATGATGTTGCATATACCGTTGGTACTGAAGCTGCTTCAACAAAAGTTATATTGTTTGGCATGAGACATAGATGGTTTTTGTTTAAAATTATAGTGCTTGAAGATGTTCTGTTGTTAAAAGTGTAGACGTGGTCACCAACTTTAAAATTATCTACATTTTTACCGACCGATGTAACTATACCTGAACATTCAACTCCAAATTCTGGAGTGTGGATATCCGAATTGTGATTAATGAGTTCAGCAGGTAGATTTCTAGTATAAGCCAAATAGTCTATGTAATTGATGCCAGTTGCTTGAACTTGAACCTCTACTTGATCTTCACCTAATTGTTCCTTTGATTCTAATTGAAATTCCAAATTTTCATTTAAAATTGAATATAAATTATCCTTATTGCCATTTGGTTTTTCAATTGAATTTGATGCATACTTTTTGAAAATATTTGTTTCAAATTTTATTCTCTCGATATAAACTTTGTTTTCTCTTATAATAAATTCTCTTTCTGCATTACTTGTATCAATGAGTTGATTTATGAGTTGAGTATTGCTTATATTCATTAATGATTCATCATCAAAATCAATTGAAAATAATAATAATGTATCCAGTTGATCTATAAAGAACCTGAATGAACCAGTTACTGACGATGCTAAATAGTTTGATGATTCTTTATAATAACAATTTTTTGATAGTAGAACTAGTTTTGTTGATGTTAATTTATTTTTAATTAAATATTGAACAATTTGAATGTATTCTAATGTAATTTGTTTAAAATTATTAATATTTAACTGATTAATAGTTTTAGTAAAGTATATAATTGTATTTTGATTAATATCTTTTGAAATATTATTAAATTGCTCTATTGTATTGGTTAATTTGATTTTGTTTATCTTTTAAAAGATTATTTATAAATGATTGGTTGTTATTATTTAAATCACTATATACTATTATATTGCTATTGTTTGCATTGATAAAAGATTGGGTTTCTTGTTTTTGGGAATGTATTAAAATGTTGGAAATTCCATTACTCTTGTTCATTTTTATGTTTTTGAAATTATTTTCGGATAATATTTTATACCATTGATCATCAGTCATACCACATCTGTCGGTTCTAAGCTCGGTATCTTCAAATGACCACCATTGATCAAATACACCAAATATACTATCCCCAACTAAAGATTTGTAGTATGGTTCGATAAAAAGAAAATATCCATTATTTTTTAATATTTGATGAATTTCATTTAAACCAAATGATATTTTCTTGATTACATGTATTACATTTGACATTACAACAAAATCATAATAATTTCGTTTTAGTTCTTGGTTGCTGATAAAGTTATTTTCTAAATCCAATGTTTTGAATAAAACCGAAACATTATCGATACCAAATGATGATAGTTTTTCTTTAGCACCGGGTATGAATGTTTGGGAGATATCACTAAAAGTATATTCGATTTCAATTTCGATATCATCTGATTCTTTACTTTTTAATAGTTGATTAATTTTATTTAAAATTTCAAAAGATAAAGAAGCTGTTCCACCACCAAACTCTATAATTCTAATAACATTCTTTTTCTTCATTAATGGTTTCAATGAATCTATGAGTATTTCTGATAATAATTTTTGATTTTTTGTGTAGTATGGATGGAGGTAAAATTCTTCTAATAGGCCATTATCATATAAGGACGATGGTGTTTCTAATTTATCTTTATCTCCAAATGGGAATAATAGATCTGCAATTATTTTTGTGCTTTTTGTCAAGATATTGCAGAAAACTAGTTTTTCTTCATTCCATTCAGATTCTTTATACTCTTGTTGATAGTATTCTTTAATCGTTTCAAATACAAAATTAAAATTGTATTGTATTATGTTTGATATCTTCTATTTTTAAATCTGGTACTTGGTTTTTGATGTAGTAATAAATGATTGAAGGAATAAACATAATATAGTTTTCTATATCCAATTCAGTGATAGTTTGTTGATGATTGAACAATTCTAAATTTCTTACAACTTCACAATCTTTTAACTGTAAATACGTTGTTTGAAATTCTTCTTGTGGGTATTGAATCTTTAATGGGTCTATTACCATTACTGTAGATGTCATTGTAATCCTTTCAATTTCGAAGATAACTGTACCATCATCTAACATTATAGTGGTTGAATACTCGAATGAATCACCTTTTTTTCCATAATATCTTGAGAATACAAATAGATCTGAGGAATAGTCTCTTGGTAGATTTGATGAATAGAATTTAAGATTCTCTACTCTATCAAAAACCAAATGAGTATTTTCTTCAATTAAATACAAAGCACCATGAGCACAGCAATCTAAGGTAGCACAGTCGATTATGGTTTTGACATTCTCGTGAATATGGTTAAATTTAACTTGATTTAGTATGCAATTATCACCGATAAAACTTTGTTTGATTGATTTAAAGAAGCCAGTGTAGACAATACCAGTTTTAACCTTAATATGATTATAGAAACTTTGGTTGTTTAACATTGTTAAGTTGCATTTAGATTTTAAATGTTCAATATCCAATTTCTTTTCGTTTGCATTAGTAAAGCTAAAAGTTTGAAAATTACCACTTGAAGATAAAATCCATTTATTTGTATTGGGTTCGTAATAATGAAACTGAACTCTATAGTCTTTCTTTGATGTTTGATAAAAGTTGGTTTGTAATTGTTTGTTTACACCTTCAATAAATATTAATGGTACTTTAAATTCCAAATGTGATATTATTAAATCTTCATTTGGGAAAGAGTTGATAATGTTTTCTATATAGCCACTGCCTGGAAAATAGTATTTGCCTTTTACTTGATGGCCTTTTAAATATTGAAATTGAGGTTTTTCTGCATCAATAGTTGTATTATATGATATAAATGGTGATGTTGTGTTTTTATTTCCTAATATTTCAATAGCAGGGCCATGGAGTCTGTATTGTTTCTGTTTAAAGTCTTCTCTCCAAAATACTTTATCATCCCATTGATATCTTGGTAAATTTAAATCTTTATGTTTATATTCTAAAGAAGAATGATTTTCTTTGTTGATGGTTTTTAATTGATTTGTAAAATTAATTGGGTAATTATGATTGCAGTATAGTGTGGATACTAATTGGAATATTTGGTTGATATCTCCTTTAGTTTTATTTAATGTGGTTAAAATTGTTGATTGAATTGGTTGTGTTGATGGTGGTTTTATTTGTTTAAGATGATAGGCTAATGCTGAATGAGGTGAAAATTCAATAAAAATTAGATTATTGCATAATTGATTGGACTCAATGTGTTGGTATAATTTTTGAACGGTTTGTGTAAAGTAAACTGGTTCTCTAATATTTCTAAAGCAATAATCTGAATTAAACTTAATATCTTGACCATTAAAGAAATCTTGGTAAAGAGTTGATAATACTGGAATTTTTGGTTTAAATGATTCAAATCTTAGGTCAATTAGATCTCTTTTAACTTTATCTTGACTTGATGTATGGAAAGATGATAGAGTATTTAAGAATGCAGTGTATGTTTTGATGTTTTAATTTTGTTTCAATTTCTTTTAGTTGGTCTTCATTACCACCAATTACAATTGAACTTGTTGAGTTATAACATGATATTTCTATTGTTGGATATTCTTTTGAAAATTGATCGTTAAACTGGTCACTGCTGATATTAATTGATGGCATTTTGCCTGATCCTATTGTTTTTTGTTGAGCATTTGATCTATGATATAGAATATAACAGAGTGTGTCTAAATCGATTGATCCTGAGCAATATATTAAGTTAATTCGCCCAAACTAAATTATAATAGAAAAATATTTAATTAAAATTAATAAATTTGACATTAAAAAATATTTGAATAATATTAGATTATTTAACTAATAGTTACCTATGGCCGATAATATAATTTGGATTAATATTCAATTGTTTTGTTAATGTTTCAAAAAGAGCGATTTGGATCATACAAATTGAAGGTTGTGCGATAATTGGATGGTTAATGGTATCATCGTTGATCTTAATTTCTCTAATATTGAGTATCCGTAATATTTGTTTAACTTTGAGTCAATTAAATCAATTGTTGATTTAAAGTATGAATCATTGATATACAACTGTTCTCCCATACCATTCCATTGAGTACCTTGGCCACTGAAAATAAAACATATTTTGGTGTCAATATTTTCTTTTTCAGCCAATTTTAAATTTGAGGTAATTGAGTTATTTGTTTTAATAAAAGAATCAGTATTCTTTAAACTTGACCATTTGTTTGCTAATGCTACTGACCTTTGATAAAGTTTTGTTGATTTTGAAAAGATTTGGTATTGGACAAAATCAAAAAATTCACAATTTCTTGATAAATTGTTAAAATCATTTTGAATACTTGATATATAAAGATTGAGAGATTGTTTACTGTTAGCTGAGAATGGTACTAAATATTCTTTATTTTCTTCATATTGATAAGTAGACTCTGGTTCTCTACTGAATTCTGATAACACCATGCATACATTTGAACCTGAACATTTAAAATTAGAAAAACAATTAATGGTTTTAAATTAAAAAAGTAAAGAGTTAAATCTGATAGTTACCTGTGATACCAAAATTATTAATCATCATTGATACTTTTTTATTTGATGGAAATGGCTCTACCTCAGTAATAACTTTTAAATTCCATTCATCAAACTTTATAGCAGGATTAGGTTTATTAAAATTAATGTTTGGAGCAAATTGACGATGTTTAAACATTAAGCAACATTTTATTAATGAAGCTATACCCGAACAACCTATAAATTAGAATTTTGAAATGGATTAATTAATAAACAATAAAATAGAATGATTGGAAAAACAATATTGTCTATAAATAATACATACATTCTACATGACCTATATTTTATTTTAAAGAACCAATTATTAATGGATTTTGTTGACTGTGGTATTGTTTAAATGCCATAGAAATTGCCTCAACTTCAATGGGATCGCCAGTTGGTGTACCGGTACCATGACACTCAACATAACCTACATCGGACTCGGTAACCTGCGATGAACATAATCTGAACGCTTCTTTAATATTGTCATATTGGCTAGTTTTTGATGGTGAATAAAAGTTGTTTTTATCACAGTTTCCATCTGCATTTGAATTTACTGCTTTAATAACACAATAGACCCTATCACCATCATTAATAGCCTGTTCAAGATTCTTTAAAACAGCAACACAAACACCTTCACATCTTCCAAAGCCATCTGCATCTGCACTGAACACCTTACAACGACCGTTTTTACTGAGCATATTTAAATATGTGTAAGCTTTTGGAATAGTCTCGTCCAATAATAAATTGGTACCAGATACGATAGAATAATCAGATCTACCCTCTACAATACTTTGATATCCCAATGCAATTGCTGTTGAAGAACTACTACAAGCAGTATCGATAGACATAGATTGACCTCTAAAATCATAGCAATATGAAATTCTATTTGAAGCAGCATGACTATGAGATCCAAATATATTTTGTAAAACTTCCTCTGAATTTTTTAAATTATTCTGATAGTCATTAGTTGATAAACCCACATATACACTTGTATATGTACCACGTAGTTTAATTGGATCAATATGTGCATCTTCGAGTGATTCCCATGCACCTATAAAATAGGAAGTATTGGTATTATTATCTTTTACCGATTGGTTTATAACTGTTTATTTAAAATAATCTTACATTTCAATAATAGTCTCTGCTGCATTATATTTTTAAAGTTTTGTTTTAACACACCAACCTATATATATTAGATGTCGATAATATACACAGAAAATTTGTTTCATTGAAACAACATTATTAAAATGGTTTATCCCTTAAAATGCTGAGGATGTATGGTTGCCAAAAAAAAAAAAAATTTTAATTTTTTATTATGAATTAATTTAAAAAAAATAAAAAAAAATTTTCTTTTTTTTTTTATTTAATAAATTTTTTTAAAAATTTTATTTATTTTATTACACATTCAAATGGATACTTCAAATACAAATAATAACAATAACAATAACAATAGCAATAACAATAATAATAGTAAAATGATAAACCCACAGAAAAATAACCGCTCGCCCAACTATCCAAGAGTTATTCTAAATGACTACATTACACAATTGTATTTTAGAAATAGCGAGGAGAAATTCAGTTTCAGAGATTTTATTTCATTTAATTAATAACCAATTATCAACCAAAACATCAAGTACTAGGAAAACATCAAGAAATACAGTAATAATTCCAAAGCTCATTAATGTATATACAATTGATGAAAATAGAAAAGAAAGAGGTGCTTGTTTTGTGTAGTAATAGTTCAAGGTGTAAACTATAAAGGAAATTCATATTAGATCTCAATGTGAATGTCATAGTGTGTTCCTCCATGAAGTTTGTAATGTTGCATTTCATAACCCAGATTTCAAAATTGCCCAAACTTTATTATTTATACAATTTATTATTTATTAATTGTGTAAATAATAAATAAAATAAAAATAAAAACAATAATAATAATAATAATAATAGTGAATTAACTGTAAAATTTTAAATAAACTTTAAAATAAATATATTTTTATAAATATATTTATTTATTTAAACTCAATTTAAAGGAGATGAAATTTTTTTTTTTTTTTTTTTGAATTTTTTTGGAGACCTTAGGGTTATATTATTAATAAAATCACCAAAAAATTTTTTTTTAAAAATAAATTTTTGAAAAATTTGAAAATTACATTTTTTAATTTCTAATTTTTTACATTTTACATTTTTCTTAATTTTTTTTTTTCGAGACACCCCCTTGTAAAATTAAATTTATATTTTTTTAAAAAAAAAAAAAAAAATAATTAATATTATGGAAAAATGGTTTTTTTAGAAAATCAAATTATTTTAAAAAAAATAAAAAAAATCAAGGGGGTGTCTATTTTACAAGGGGTTGTCTGTAAGGAATTTATCTGGACTTTTTGCAAAAAAAAAATTTGATAAAAAAAAAAATTTAATTAAAAAAAAAAAAAAAATTTATTTTTTACATATAAAATATTTTTAATTTTATTTTTTTTTTTTAATTTTTTATTTTTGAACGTCCAGATAAATTCCTTACAGACAACCCCTTGTAAAATAGACACCCCTTGATTTTTTTTATTTCTATCAAATTTTTTTTTTTGCAAAACGTCCAGATAAATTCTCTGCTGGCAAACCCTTAAAAAAAATTAAAAAAAAATTAAAAAAAATTGAAAAAAATTATGATATTCATAAAAAATTGAAAAAAAATAAAAAATAAAAAAACAAAAATTGATATAAAAAGAAAAAATTTGTAAAAAACAAAAATTGATAAAAAGAAAAAATTATTTGTAAATTAATTTGGTTGATTTAATTTTTTATGAATATCTTAATTTTTTTCAATTTTTTATTTATTTTTTTTTATTTTTTTTTAATTTTTTTTATTTTTTTTTATTTTTTTTAAAATTATTTGATTTTCTATAAAAACCATTTTCCATAATATTAAATATAAAAATAATAATAATAATAATAATAATAATTTTTTATATTTTTTTTTTAATTTATAATCATGACTGAATATCCTAAATTTGCAACTAAAGACACACCATTTTCAATTAGTTTTAATAATGGTATTAAAGATAATAATAAAGTTATAGGTATATATAATCAGCATTATGCAGTTTGTTTAAAAGGGAATGATGGTGGTATAATAACACTCTACGATTTAAACAATAATAACCAACAATTTAAACAATTTTCAAATGTTTGCAAAAAGCATAAAGATTGTGACAGAGTTGCAAACATTATTGATAATGATACTGTATTTATTGAATGTTTATTCAGTGATTACCATTATCACTATTCAATGATAAACCTATCCAACGGTATGTAGAATATATATTTAAAATTATTATTAAATGATATATTTATATTAATATTATTTATTTTCTTTTAAAAAACTAATAGATCAATTATATGAAAGTAAAGATTATTTTTATGGTAAAGCTAAACCAACCAGTAATTGCATGTTAACTGAATGGAGCAGAATTAAGGTACCATCGATTCAAGATCCAAATGTAAATTTTGAGTTTATTAAAGTAGTCTGTTTTAATTTTGTTACTGGTCAAGAAGAGTTTGTGCATGTATTTATACCTTTCCTAGGCGAAACTTTTACATCGATTTCAATCAATAAAGAAAAAACCAAACTTATTATATCCTCTTTATTTAAAGGTTATACTATCATCAGTGTAAGATCGATAGAGCAAAGTGAAAGTCCCTATAACATCATACAACTATGGACTTTGGGAAAAGACGATGAGTTATTAAGTTTAAACTTAAAAGATGACAAAAAAGTAATAATTCATTCAAAACTATCGATTCTTGTATATGACATGCCAACAAACAGGTATTGGTACATCCTACCCGAACCCGGGTCTATTACCGAAGTGGGTAGTCTTGTTCAAGTAATAGACAACATTTTAGTACATTGGTATAGGCACAGAATCAACGAACAGGGTTATTTGTTTTTAAATTTTTGGGATATTCAACAAGATGTTTCAATTAAATCGATCAAACTTGACCCAAAATATGCATCAAACAATCCACCAGTTTCAATAACCTCTAATAACGATAAATCAAAACTTTTGGTTATTAATAATAATGAAATTCACACATTGGATTTTAATTAACTTTCTTTACAAAAAATAATAAAATTAAAAAATAATAAAACACGATTGTTTTTTTAATTCACAACATACCATATTTTTTTATAATAGCGTTTTTTTTTATTTTTTTTAGATTAAAATATCATAAAATATCTGGTTTATGAATTTTCCCTATTTTTATAGCTTTTTATTTGTTTTGATTTTTTTATATTAATTATTATTTGAGAACAGAAAATAACACATTCAGATCAAAATTTTTTTTTTATAATAGAACCAAATAATGGGTATTCGAGATATATATAGAAACAATTAAATAAATGGGTAAATACATACATTATTGTATATATACAATAATTAAATAATCAGTTTTTTGAACTTGGCGTTTTATGTAGTCTCGCCAAATAATAAACGAAATCAACCAAATTTTTATTATGATTTTTTCTACGGTTTAAAAACGATGTTGAAATAATAAACGAAATCAACCAAATTTTTATTATGATTTTTTTTACGGTTTAAAACCGATGTTGAAATTTCTCGCACTAAAAAAATCAGATAATTAAATGATATTTTTGATTCACTAGGTGTTTTTTTTTATAAAAAATCATAATAAAAAAAACATAAAATATCAAGAATATGAATTTTCTCTCTCTTTTTATTTTTTTTATTATGTTTATTCAGTGTTTTCTTTTTTTTAATTTTTTAAATAAATTTTTATTTTATTTGCCAACAAAATTATAAAAAATTAAAAATAAAAAAAATATGAAAATTAATTTTTTAAATTTTTTAAAAATTTTTTTTTATCATCATTCATTATTTTTATTTTTTATTTAGACTATAATAATGTATTTGTTAATGGTCAAATATCACAGTCAGATCAAAATGTTTTTTTAACAATAGATCCAAATAATAGGTATTCTAGATATCCAGATAAAACCGATTTATTAAAATGTACTTTTGGTATAAAATTTATAGTTCAATATATTACAAGTCCTATATTAGAACCACTTTCGGGACTTTTTATTAATAACTACGATACTTTTTATGAACTTATAACAACTCAAGATGCAGGCCAAGGCTTAACATCAAAGTTTAGAATTAAGGATAGGGATAACCAAACATTATTCACTGACTTTAATTTAGAATTGTTTTGTCACAGTAAGTATTATAATACTTTAATTTCAAATATATTTAAATAATTATAATTATAATATACCTGTATAAATAATAAAAAAAATAATATAAAAACAAGAAATAGATATAGTAAAACTAAATTTTTATAAATTTTTTTCAATAATTAGGTATTGATGTAGATTCATTGGAAATTAAAGCTTTACCTCCATTTTTAGAACCTCAACTTCAAAACAACATAAAAACATTTTATTTTTATTTATCGATTAAAGGACTTAAGTATCCAGTACCTTTGTCAATTGAACCATCATTGGCCAGTAATGGTATTACTATTATATCAACCCCGATTGAAGAGTGTTTATACATTCTAATGGTTACAAACATTAATGTTCAATACTTTCTGGATCTAAATGCCGAGTTTAATCTAAATTTCACCGATAATAGAAAAATCATAGTTAAAAGTGAAACTATCTTTAGAACTACAAACTATCAAAACATAACATATAAAGTATATCCAGAAACACTTTCAAATATTCTGTTTAGATATCCTCAAAATGGATTCTTATTTTCACCTGTTGTTATTGTGAAATCAGATTTAACACCCGAAAATGCTTATTTTTTAAGTAAAATTGGATCACAAGCTCCTCCCACATTTAAATTGGCTTCTCAATCGTTGGATAGTGGCAATAATATGGTATATAATTATATTTTCCCAATATCTGTAAATAGTGGCGCTTCTACCGATTTTTTACTATCCTATAACAATGGCTCAACGTCTAGTATGATTGTCTTTTCGTATAACCCTTTTATTTGTAAATATTAATATTATTATTATAGTATTGATTATCATTTTAATACTAACAATTTGTTTTTATAGTTTTTGATACAGGAGCTATACCTCAAAGCAGCCTTTCACTAGGTCCATTAGACACATTCTCATTACTTTTTAATAATATTGCAGGGACATATTTTTTAACAAATTTAAAATATCAAACCAGTTTCTGTGGATTTTCTTTTGTTTCTGAATTCCCATATGGGTTTATTGAAGGAACAAACTCTGCATTTTATTATAAATCAGTATTTTTTCAAAAATTATCAAACGGAATCACAGATAGAGTAACGTTTCAAGAATATACCCAAAGTTTTTTGATAGATCTCCAAAATCCAAACTCTGTTTCAACAACAGGTATTATTATTATTATTATTATTATTATTATTATTATTATTATTATTATTATTATTATTATTATTATTATTATTATTATTATTATTAGATATTATTATTAATACTTGTTTTATCATTAACATAATTCTTTTCTAGATATAAGCCCCCCCAAAGTAACACATTTAGAGTTTATTCATATCTCGGGATTTATATTTTTATTTAAAGTAGGACTATCCGATGAAACTGCAGTAAAACAAATTTTAATTGGCAAATATATTAAAAAATCGATCGCTTGCGAGGGTATTATAGATGGTGATTGTAAAAACGGTTTGTTTGAATCGGCTATTGACATTGAAGATTTATATGGCTATTTGGCATTAGATTCTTATGGTAATCAAAAAGATTTTAATAAAGATAGTTATCTTTATACCAATTCCGAAGGATTCTCTGTCTATTTTACTATTCCAGTTCCTGATGTTCAATGTAAGTAAATATTTTTAAAATTTAATATCATTTATATCAATATGATTCTAAAAGTATACTTTTTTTAGTAAAAATTGAAAATGTGACCTATTTGGTAAATGATATTGACATTGCTGATAAGCCATGTTATAATACAATTTATTTAACTCTTCTACAATTCCAAGAGATTATCCACTAAAATTTCTTTTGACCGATGATATTTCAACTGAAGACTTTCAAGAAAATTTAATTAAAGAATCAACAATCAGATGGGATGACCGATTAAAGCTTTTTTACTGTGACTTTATTGTGCCAAAGAACACAAACCATAAAGTTATTAATTATAAGATATCTTCACCTTATAAAGGAGTGAAGAGTCATGCATTTCCCCCATTAAGAGTTTTAAAGACTAATTTCGATAACGATGGTCCAATAATATCAAGTATCACAAATATTGATGGTAAAACTGGATGGAGAATTGGAATTACTGACACTCCCAACGGTTTTGGCAATGGTTATATAAAAGCAATAGTTATAGCTATATATATAGCAATTATTAGTCCATTTAACGTTACTGCATTTTATCCAACCAAAACAAATACATTTATAGTTCTTCCAACTTATTTTAATACAACGGGTTTACTAAAACCATTTGAACCAACATCAACACCAGAATTAACAAAAACTCCAATACCAACTAATAAACCACAACAATGTTTAGGTTCGCCATTATGTGGAGGTCCATCCCATGGTAAATGTGTTGAAAACCAAGGTTGTGTTTGCGTTTCACCATGGATTGGTATTGATTGCTCATCAAGAATTGTTATTGTTGACCCACCTCTCGCAAACAATTCAGATCCATCAACTGAAATTGTTCTCCCCTAAAAATGAAAATGGTAATAACTATACGGTCACTTACAAATCATTAATTACATTGGTATCATTAAGAGAAATTAATATTTTTGGTGATGTTATTTATAGTAAATCTTTCGACAAATGGATAGTCACAACACAAGTTAACTCAACATTTATTTATAAAACAAGTTTAGAAATAAAAGACACAACTACTACAAATGTAACAGTAACACTAAAATGGTTTTCAAATGAAACAACGATATCCTTTGCTGACCAACAGCTATTAATGTATCCATCAACAATAAAGTATACAATTGAAATTGGCAACTATCCATTCCAAAGCTCTCTAACTTCGCTTCAATTGGTAATGTCAGCATTATTACAATCAAACACGACAGATAATATTTGCTCAGCAAAAGAATTTGGGGAAACTACATCGGGCGACAATTCAAATTATCTCAAGATTCAAGTCGATGATCATTCACTATATGGTAGATTCATTAAAAGAGGTTTTATAGATTCCACAATAAAATCAGTTTCAAATATTTTGTTAGACAAGGATATGAATCCAATCACATCAACCCAAACACTACAGTCATATATAGGTATTCAAATTGACCCTGATTTTTCAGTTCTATTGGACTCATCTAGCGCCTCATCTAAAACCAATTCAATTTGCTTAAGAAAATCAAAATTAACAGGCTCTCAAATTGCAGTATTGTTATAGGTTGTGTGGCATTTGTTGCAGTTGTATCAATTTCAATAGTTTACACCATATATAAAAATAAAAAAAACAAGCAATTTATGAAGGATGTTGCTGTTAAATTAGGCCAACTAAACAATTAAAAAAATAAATGTATTTTAAAAGTTAAATCATCATATCATTTTCACAAAAAAAAAAAAAATTTATTTAATACATTATGATGTTTTTAAAAAAAAAAAAAAATTTTTAATATATTTTTAATAAAAATAAATTTTTTAATGATCATAAACTGGTTCAATGAATTTTTTATAAAATTACGAAAAAAAAAAAAAATAAAAAAAAAATATTTTTTTTATTGAATATACAAAATTAATATTCATACGAAAATAAATTTTGCATTTTTTCCTCTTATTGTTTTTTTAAAAAAAAATAAATAAATCTAACTTCAAAAAAATATATTCAGATTAATAAAAATCTTCAGATATATAATAAAAAATTAAAATATTTGTTTTTATTTTTTTTTATTTTTTTTTATTTCTTTTTCAAAACAGTTATTTCTTATGATGCAAAAAAAAATAGTATGATTTTACATGGCGTCATAATTTCTTAATAAATTTTTGCCACTAAAATTTTTTAATTGAAAAAGTAAAATATTAACATGTCCATATTAAAATATGGTTAGTGTCCTATTTTTTGAAGAAAAAAATTATTTATCGCACCAATTTATAAAAAAAAACATTTTAAAATTGTTTATAAAAATCTTATCATATAAAAAGTTCATCAGCGTCCCCTCCAAATACCTTAAAGAAAGTGTTAAAAAACAGTGAGATTTAAATCACCACCCTCCAAATGCTCAATTTTGAAATTATCATAATTTTTTAAAGAAAATACACTTTAAAAATATTTTGTAAAAAGGCAGTCTTAAAAAAACAGTGAGATTTAAATCACCACCCACTTTTTGAAAAAAAATTACAAAAAACAAATAGAGATTTTACTCATATAATTGTGTATTCAAATAATTAATATTTTGTTATACAATATTTTTACTCTTTCTAAAATAAATAAATAAAGTTTTTTATTCTATAACAAAATAAATTTTATTTTAGAAAATAAATTTTATTTTAGAAAATAAATTTTATTTTAGAAAATAAATTTTATTTTAAAAAATAAAATTCGAAAAAAAAATTAATTTCTTTTTTTTTTTTTTTTTTTTATTTATTTTTTTGGTTACAACCAAGTCCACGTTTTATTTGTTTAAATTATATTTCCAATATTGTATTTGTTTTGAATTATATATTTCAAAAAATAATCAGATTAAAATAAATAATGATAGTATAACAATAAAACAATAATAATAATAATAGCAGCGATAATAATAGTAACAGGAATAAACAATAGTAGGGGTTATTCCTTGTGATCTTTTGTTTTGGCTGTGATTATGGAACTGAGGCTTTAAAGATCCAAAATAACACCATCCGTATAGATCAAAGTGCAAACTAATATAAGATCAGAAATGACATCCATCACAAACCACTTACAGACAAACTACCTTTAAACATTCTTTTAAAAAGAGAAGCAGATTCTAGCCTATTTAACAATATATAAATACAGATAGAGAATGCCATAATTCAATCGTTTTTATGCTATGGGCAAAAGATTAAAATTTAAAACCTTTTTAGAAAAGTTATTAGCTTCAAAATAAAGTCAATATCAACTTTTAGGTTATAGTAACAACAATAATAAAATAAAAATAAAATATTCAATTCAGGCTACATTTCAAATAAAATAATAAATAAAAATTTAAAAAAAAAATAATTAAATAAAAGAAAAAGATTTAATATAATTTATTTATTTTTATTTATTTTTAATTTTATAACTATACATTTGATTTACCATTTTTTAATTTATCAATTTTTTTAAATATATTTTCTCTATATTTATAACCAATAAATGCAGCACCACACAATGCAGCACCACCGACAAATGTTGGAATTAATGCTTTCTTCAATGTACTACTTTTGTTATCAGACTTCTTGTTTTCAAAGTTTAATGTTGAATTGATTGTATATTTAGATTCACCTATTTTTAAGTATAATTGTTCATTACCATCTTTAATTGAATCAATATTGATTTTTGAATAACTACAATTGTATAAATCATTATTATTGTGTTGTATTGATATATTGAATGTACAATTCATTATTAAGTCACCTTTTGATGTATTAAAATGAATTTCAAATGGTTCACCGAATTCATTACCATATACTTCAAATTGATAAGTATTATTACCACCATCTTTAATATTAATTAAACTATTATTAAATGATGGTTTATTATATGATATTGTATATTTTGAAATGAATTCATTATAAATGAATACTGATAAATCAAATGTACCAACATATCCATCATTTAATAATACACAAATCATATTATTTGAAACATTATAATCTTTAAATGTATTTGTACCGCCTTTTAAATGTGATTTAATTTCAATTGTAACATTATTTGAATTGTTGACACCAGATTTAGTTTCAGGTAATCTTGAACCACCAATACACACTGTTCCATTTCTTGTTGAAATATTATTATCTTTTACCAATCCAATTATTGATGGTAACATTATTTTATAGTTTTCATTTGACATTGGAATACTATCGATTATAAGACTGACATTACCATAATCATATTGTGAATCTGCATCGAATGTAATAGTTGTATCACTGATAACTTTACATGTAACATTTTTATTTGCAAATATTAAATTACATTTTGATGAATCATTACCAAAGTTATTACCAGTTAATGTAATTGATTTTAACCCATTAACACTATGTAACACAATTGTTGGTGGAGCATATTCAAATAATGAATTGATTTTTTCAATACCATCAACATAAAATTTAAATGAATGTTTACCAGTTCCAGCACCAACATTACAACTTGTTTCAGTATTTGAAATTAATGTACAGTCAATATGATCTGAGCCATCAACTGTAATAGATGGTTTTACAATAATCTCTTTACATGAAAAGTATTTATCAATATGTAATGATGATCCATTTGTTAATGGTTTTGATGGAGCTAATATAAATGTAGGTTGTGGTGTTATAGTTATATTATTATTTGAAATGACACCATTAACTTCAATTGATAGCTTTACAGATGTTTCACATATATTTGGTAATTTAAATGACAATTTAGTTTCATCATCACTTATTGATATAATTATAATTTCATTATTTACTTTTCCATCAAGTAAAAGTTTTAAGGTACCATTTGAATCTTTAATATTACCAAAGTTAATGCCAGTTATTGAAAATTCATTTGTTTTATCAATTTGAATTGCATTTGTTGATGTAAAACGAGGTACTCCATATTTGAAATTGATTTCAGCTGTACTTTGAACTTCATCTATTTTAATTTTAATTTTATTTATTAGACCCTCACCAGGCTCTAATAAACAAACTATTTGAGATGTTGTTGATGATATATATTCACAATTATAGCTTTTATTATCACTACTGATTAATGATACATTTGTACTTGATGGTTGAGAAGATGACATATAACTTCCAGTTATTGTAATTATACCGCCATTATATTTTGAAGTTGATACAGTTGTACTAATCGACACAGGTTGTGGTTTAATATCAAAAGTATATATATATTCTAATGAAATACCCCCAATATTTACACTTATATTTAATCTTTGAGAATAATCAGTAACATAATCAAGTTTTAATAAACGATGATCTATTGAAACAATTGATGCATTTTCTCCATTTAGAGTTACCTGAGCAACTGATGGGCTATTATAAAAATTCAAACCATTTAAAGTTATTATTGAGTCTTTATAATTACATTGAGAAATATAAGGAGGGGCATAGTGTGTATCTATTCTTGATATCTTCAGAGAAGAATCAGGATACACTCTAAAACTTCCATAACCAGGTGGAAAATTTACCGTTAAATTTTCAGGGTCATAATTCTCTTTATCAACAGTCCATTTTACTGTCTTACCCCTGGCAACTCCTTCTACAATGTAATAATCATCAACATAATTTCTTAGATAATTACCAGTAAGTTGAAGTTTACTGCCTTCAGTTGATGGTAACCCAGAGAGAACATAATTTAATGGATACATATAATTATTTGAGTCAATTGGTTCATCACAGTAAGTTTGACCTCTTTGAAAAACTAAACATCTTAGAACACCATTACCATAAAAGTTTTTTATCTGATTTTCATTCAATTCCAAAACACATTTTTCACTGTTGCATTTGATTGGATAAACCTCCCTTATATTTTTATAATTAAGATCATCATACAAGGTAAAATTAACCGTTCGTGGATACTCTGTGTCAAATTCAATATATGATCTGTTGTAATATACCAAACCTATAAAAAAAATTAGTAAAAGTTAAAAAAACAATTTTTATGAATATTAAAAATATTTACTTTGTTGTGAATAAATTTTAGAAATAAAAAATATAATGAAAATACAAATAATTATTTTTTTCATTTTTTATTTAATATAAATTACAATTAGTAATTGAAAATAATTATTTATATATTTTTTATTATTTATAATTTTTAATTTTTTTATAAAATTTTAAAATTCTAAAAATAGTATCTTTTTTTGAACAACCCCGGGTGTGTTAATAAATTTTAACAATCTTTTGTAGGTAAAAATAGAATCATTTTTTAAAAATTTTGTTCAACCACTTATTTTTTTTTTTTTTAAATTTTGAACAACCACATTGTGTTAAAAAAGTTGAACAATCTTTTGTAAATTTTAACAATCTTTTGTAGGTAAAAATAGAATCATTTTTTAAAAATTTTGTTCAACCACTTATTTTTTTTTTTTTAAAAAAAATATTAATTCAAAAATATATTTTCAATTGCTAAAAACATTTTTTTTTTTTTTTTTTTTTTACATTATATATTTATATACAAATATTAAATTATTTATTATGTTATTAAAAATAATATTTTTATTATTATTTGTTTTAAGGTCCACTTGTGATTGCATCGTTTCAAATCCAAGTGACTTAAGTTTTAAGAATAATACATTAAAATGTGATACTGAAACCAATATTCCTTTGTTAATAAATGAAACAATAACAGTCTCCTTTCTCATACTTGATGAGAATATTGCTTCAAGACTTCCTAGCAAAATAGGCAAAATAAATGTTCAAAAAATGGCTTACATGAAAACACAAGATATTCCAACTGTTGGTGGTAAATTCGATGTTTTGTTATTTTATTATGCTTCATTCGATTCCTATTTTAAATTCCCACTCTTGAAATATTCAAATGGAGAACCATTTAACCCTGAAGGTCCAAAAGATAATGGCTCCTGTGTTTTTTATACAATAAATTTTCCAAAAGGATGTGGATCTGGCCAATTTGTTCCATTTTTTTACAACTATCAAAAACCAAAATTATTTAATAATGAAGCTAAATTAATTTATAAAACCTTCACGGTTCTCGGAAATAATCTTAATGGTACAAAAATCTGGGTAACAAACAACAAAACTCATAATGTAATAACCTCAGAGTTTTTAAATGAAGAAAATAACAAAATTGAATTTGAATATGATCAGTTTATGTATTATGGAAACTGGACTGTTTTTTTGGACATTTGTAATTTGAAAAATGAAAGCTTTAATTTTCCACAAAAACCAGAAATATATACTTGGGAAAGTGTAAGTGGTGATACTGGTGGAATAGTAACAATATATGGAAAATATATTACTACAAAAAACGATACCGTACCAACAATTACTATAGGAAATCAAAATTGTATAAATGTAAAATATATAACGACTAAAAACCCAGTACCCATCGATCAAGAAATTATTTCCTGTGAACTGGGTCGAAAAAATGAGAGTGGCCCACTCCTTGTTAAAATGAAATTTGAAGACGAAGAAGCAACAAAAGGTAACTTTCAATATGATCAACCAACAATTTTTAGTGTAATACAAATTAAATCAGAAATTAACAATGATAAAAACATGGGAAAGTTTTTAATAAAAGGTAAAAAGTTTAAAAGTAGCAATATTTCAACTGAGGTTATGATACCAAATAACCAAACATATAAATCCGAAATGTGGTATGGAAAAAGTATTGCTCCTATTAATGAAACTGATATTATAGTGGATCTACCTTTAAGCTCATTTCCGGGTTACATAAAACTTGTTGCTAACCGAGGCCAAACCTCTGAAGTAGAATCCCAAATTTTCAGTAATTTTATAATTGAACCTATTATCACTAAAATCTCCCCTGGGGAAACAAAAGGCTCTATAATTACAATTTCTGGAACATCAATTCATGCTTTTGATTTTAATAAAACACCAATTGATATCAAAGTATATATTTCCGAAAACATCTGTACTGATATCAGTAATGGTGATGGATCATTTATAACATGCACTGCACCCAGTGGTATTGGTAAAAACTTACCAACAAAAATAATCATCCCAATGGCAAATTATATTCAAAATGATTTAACTTTCTCCTATTATCCACCATTAATTAGTAATGTTGAGCAAGTCAATGAAAATAGAATTCAAATATTTGGTAATAACTTTGGTAATATTTCATCTGGAGCGGTGATATCCTTAGATAATAATAAAAACATCGAAATAGTATCAATTGATCACAATTTAATAGCCATTGATTTGCCTGAAACAACTAATAGTAAAGTAGAACTAAAAGTTACAATTGGCACAGATCCTAATGACAATTTAATTTCTCAAACCAGTGATGCTTTTAACCTTCCAATCATTCCTTTTATTGGTTCTGTTTCCAATGTAGATTGCTCAGGTGGTCTAATAACTATTACTGGTTTACACCTAAACAATGACATGAAGATTTATTTTAATCCTAAAAACCCAAAAAGAAAACAAATTCCATGTCCCAATGTAAAAACTAATACAACTAAACTAGCTACATGTTATGTTTATGGTAAAAATGGTCAAATAGGCAATTCAACAACATATACATCTGGAAAGAATTTTAAAGTTCTCGGTAATTATGCAAATAAAGATCTCTTTATAGGTAAAAATGCTATTTTTTCCTTTAATCCCCCAACTATTTCATCAGTTCCTGTTGTGACTAAATTAATATTAGATGCCCCTTTTAAAATTAATATTAATGGCACTAACTTTAATAGAAATGACCTCAGTGTTATAATTGGAGAGGATAATATTATTTGTAAATTTCCTTTAGTTGAAAAAGAATTTAGAACTATATCTTGCTCTCTTCCTACATTTAAACTTTGGAAAGGATATTCAAAAGAACTTTTCAATAGCTATTACAACAAAACAACATTTATTAATGTAACTGTTGATGGGCAATACACAACACATCCATTTCATTTTGAATGTAAGTAACTCTTTACTATTATAATTTAAATTTAAATCTAATAATATTAATTTCATTAATCTAGTATTTGGTGCTAATCCAGACTTTAAAGAAGGTAGTGCTGTTGGTATTATTGTTGGTGTTGTAATTTCGGGTATTATAGCTGCTGCCACAATCATATTTATAAGTGTATATAAATATAATAGATATATAAGATTAAAAACAATTAAGAAGATTCTTGAAAAAAACCTTTAATTGTAATTTAAACAATTTTATTTATAAATTTTATTAATTTCTGTATTTATTAAACTTTTTCCAAAATATAAAAATAAAATATTTCTTTATCCTACTATATTATTAATATTATTAATATTATATTTTATAATTGTTTTTTTTTTCTGTTTTTTTTTTTTTAATTATTTATTATTATCTATATTATTATTTAATAATTAAAATTTTTAAGTTTAAGGTCTTTGGTAATGATGAAATATTGCTCGATATTCTTTTTCTTGAGGTATTTAATTAAATTTCTTCTTCTTCTTTCTAACATTGGGAGGTTCTTTTTAGCAAGATAATCTTTTTTATTTTTGGCTAAATGAGCTTGAACTACATTTATTTTTTCTGTTAAAATTGAAACTATTGAAATAAAAATAATTAATATGTGTATAAATATAAATATATATAAATTTTAAATTTGAATATATACTTTGAACCATTGGTGAACCGGAATCTTGTAAAGATGTACCATACTTTTCAATACAAACTCTCTTACGGAAAGCAGTAACTTCTGGTTGGGTGGCATATTGGAAAGTTAAAAATTCTTTAAATTTAGGATGTAAAAGACGAGCCTCTTCCTCGGTAACACCAAATCTATAAGAGTTTCTAAGATCCTCTGGGATTTCAGGTTGTTGGAAAACATTTTCAGATTCTGGTGTGATAAAAGTTTCTGGTGGAGATGGTTGATAGAATTTAGTATACCAAGTTGGTAAATTGTACCAAACACCAAAAGTACTGAAAATACCCATTGGAGTATGAGTATAGTTAATCCATTGTTTAATTTTCTTTGGGTAGAGATGATAGTATTTTAAGAGGTCTCTTGGGTCTTTGGCTTGCTCTTGGAATTGAACTGGTTGCATCATATCAAACTCTGGTGTGACATCGGCATCATAAAAGTCTTCTGGGTTATCAGAGTTTTCTCTGTATTTGATGGTGGCACTATCAATTTCTCTTTGTGCAATTTGATTAAAGGATTCGAGCTCTTTAGCAATAGTAGCTTCCTTGGCTTCTTTTTCTAATTTGGCAGAGACTGGATCAGCACTTTCCTTGGCGTCTTCAAAGACCTTTCTCATATAAGTTAAAATGGTACCACTCTTGATGAGATCGACAACACTTTCTTCAAAGTTATTATCTTTATTTGCGTTGGTAACAAATTCAGAGTCAGCTGGTGGGATGAAATCGACTTGATCTAAATCTTGCTCCTTGAAACCATCTTCCTCGGCTGAACCAGTAGTCTTTTGGTCAATGTTAAAATGTTTTCTAATGTTTTCTTCAAAATTTTTGCTGTCACTACCACGATATTGTTCAGAGAGATTGATTAAATCTAAAACAAAAGATGTTTGTCTAATGTTTTTAATGTAAGGATGATTTTCGAAATACTCGTGGACAATAGCTCTTTGTTCTCTACTGATGGATGACATGTTATCTCTGTTTTGTGCAATAAATTCTTCGATTGAAACACCGCCAAGCTTTAATGAAAGTGATTCTTGAAGATTCTTTAATTTTCTATCCATCTCTTGGTCGCTCTCTAAACCGAATACTTGCTTTAATTCATTAATTAATAAACCAATAGTCTTTTCTCCGTTTGGTGCTCTTAAAAGTTTTTCGAGCTCTTGTAAACCAAATTTGGCCTCATCAACTGATAAATCGAAATTTTCAAATCCTGGTTCTTGTTTAACTTTTTCACTAACTAAATCTTGAACTTTAATATATTTGTCATTATCTTTAATACCCAATTTATTTGAAATAAATTCATAATCGATTGGTTTTTCATTATCAACTTGAAAAGATTTCTTTACATTATTTTCGTCTAAATTTTCTTCTAATCTTTTAATAAATTCTTTTTTATTTTTAAATTCTTCAAATTCTTTTCTTGTTAAATTTAATTCATTATTATTATTATTGCTACAAAATTCTCTAATATTATCTAAATAAAAAAAAAATGAAAATGTAAAAAAAAATTTAAAAATTAGTATTTTTTTTTTTTTTTTTTTTAATTTATATATTGAAATGTAATTTGATTTTATTTAATATAACATGATATAATATGATAGTATAATATAGTATAGATATAATATAGATATTATATGAATTAATATAACATAACATAACATAACATAATATTGTTTTTATGATGATTTTATGATTTAATGAAAATATAAGTCTTTTTTTTTTTTTTGTTTTAATAATTTTTTATTTAGTAAATGTTTTTTATTGTGCAGATTTGCTATTAACTATGAATTGAAAATTTAATACAAATAAAAAATATAATGAAGTTATTTTGTGGTGGTGTGTTTTTATGATCCATTTATTTATTTTTATTTTTATTTTTATTTTTTTTGTTTTTTTTTGATTCTTACATGAAAGACCACTGCATTTTTTAAAAGCTTGATCTTTAGAAATAACTAAAGATCTTTGAAATAATCTTATCATTTTTTGTTTTTTTGTTATAACAATAATATTAACAAGAAAAAATGAAAATAAAAAAATTTTGAAAAACGAAAAAAAAAAAATTAAAAAATTTTTAAAAAAATTAAAAAAAAAAAATAAAAAAAAAAAATAAAAAAAAAAAAATAAAAATACATTGATTTATACATATTTACTTTACCATTATTTTATTTACAAAAAGTATTTTATTTTATTTGATTTTTAAAATGATCCATAGGAATTTAGTGTTCTAGTTGCCATTATAAGCATATCAAAAAATCCATTAACTGATCTTCTTAATTCATCTGCACTATTAGCTGCATATAATCTAAAAAAAAAAAAAATAAAAAATAAAAAAAAAAAAAAAAAATAATAATAAAATAATTAAAATTTGTTATATTTTTGAAAATTATCTTTTTATATATTGTATATTAGTAATTTGATTCTTACACTGTTAAAACTGAATTATTTATTTTAAATTCTCTGAAAATGTTTAAATTAATTTCTTTATCTACAACAAGCGAATTCATAATAAAAATGGCATAATCTGATTTTTTATAATCTATATCTACTGAACTGTAATAATCATATTTATATATTATTAAAATAGAATTAGTATGAATATTTTCTTTTTTTCTTTTTTTCTTTTTTTTTTTTTATATTTTC